CGATCCCGGCGTTCGGGAATCGTTTGCAGGGTCAGGGAGTCAGAAAAAAAAAAGGAAAGAAAGAGAAGAAAAAGACGGAAAGAGATGACAAAAACGCCACGATATGTGCGCCCCGCCGCCGCCGCCGCCGCCGCCGCCCGAGCCCAAGGCGAGACAAGGCATGGTGAGGTGGGGGTGGCCGGGGGGAGTTGGAGAGAGCGCGCGTGGGCATTACGCATACGGATATGCATGTCAGCGTTCGCCCGCCCGCCCGCCCGCCCGCCCCTTGCGCGTGCGCCGACCGAAAGAAGAGATCTGGGTTCAGGGGGAAGAAGAAGAAGAAAAAAGAAAGAAAGGAAACGACGAAAAAGCAAATGCTGGCTGGGGGGCAAATCTCTGGAAGAGGACTCAGGCCACGAGGTTTGCGGGAAAAGAGAAAAATCAAATGCAAGTTGTTGTCTCTAATCGTGAGTACGGACTATCCGTAGAAGCCTTGGCCAATTGTGATCCGTAAACCCAACTTACATAGTGCCTCGGACGAGCCCAGTTTCAATCGTTGTGCTCTTTCTCTCCTTTACTCCCCCCTGCTAGCAGACATGTCCAGCCAGCCAGCCAACCAGTCAGCAAATAAAAAGCCATCCAAAGTATGATATATTACAAGGTATCGATTTTCTTTTTTTTTTAACCATTCGACCTCTTCGTGACCCTTGTCTCTCCTTCCCGGGGAGTGTATGATCGGTGATGGGGGTGCTGCTCGGATGGGGGTGGGGGTAACGACAACGCCAATGAAAATCGGAGGGCGCGAGAGACATCCCCAGAAAGGGGAAGATGATCGATAAAAGAAATCAACATGATGGGACGCCACTCGTCTACTCACCCGCCCAACCACCCGAGTCTTGATCGACCGCTTTTCCCGAGACACAACGCAACCCTCGTCTCGCCAAATTCCCTCCCCCCCAACCTCCGAAAGATGCAGGCAGCAAACTCGAAGCCCCCGCAAGCGAGAATGGAAAACGCCTTGACCCCGGTTGCACGGAAAATACCTGGAAAAAAAAAAGAAATCGTGGTCTGGCATACGCAATCACTCCGACCATCATTCCCGGACACAAACCCTGCCATCCTGTCAGACGAGGGGGTGCAATGCAGCAAAGCAAAGTAGCAGACGTGAAAGAGAAAAACGATTGGTCCAACGTCTCGCTCAGCCGCGCCTGCCACCCGCACGCCCCAGCTTGAGGCGGCGCGCCGCCTCGGTCTGGCTGACGCTCTTGACCGGCGCCGCGTTGGCGACGACGTTGCTCTTGGGCGCGACCGTGTAGGTGCGCAGCTGGCCCTCCTGGCGGGCGCGGTTCATGAAGCTCGGCGGAGCCAGGGCCTTGGCGCGGCGTTCGGCCGCGGCCTGCTGTGAGGCGGCCGCCTTGGACGCGGCGGTGCGGTCGGGAAGGCGCCTGCAAAAGGTAGGTCAGTTGTCTAGTGTTCGTCTGAGAGGGGTCCGGTAGGGGTGAGACTGTAAAAATGGGGGTATGTGCTGGGTAATAGGGATGGGGGCGGTCGTTCTGGACAAAAAAAAAACGTACATGGGATCGTAGTGGGCTTCGGCGACCTCCTTCTTGCGGTAGTCGTCAGTCCGTTTGAGGATCGGACGCGTCCACTCTCCGATCAGTTTTTCCGCCTGCCTCTTCATGGTGCTCTCAACCCTTGGGCTTTTGGTGTAGAAGTTAATGACTTTGCCAATGCCGCTGGCAACAAGCGAGTCTTTTGTGATGGGTAGCTTGCCCAACACCGTGAAGAGTTCACGCTGGATGTTGTACGCCGGCATGCTTCCATCGTTGAGCGGTTCAAGAAAGAACCGTACGGCTTGCAGAAGATTGATGTCGGGATCGACAAGGTTATTCTGGAGGTTGTTGCGGTTCAAGAGAGCCACAACCTCAGGAAGTAGCTTCAACTTGTGGATAGCAGGCTCGCCGCGCTCACGGCCTTCATTGTCGGCTTGTGCGGCTTCCGTCATGCGACGGCGCATGTCCTCGATCTCGGCATCAGCCTGTGCCTCGAGGTCCTTTCCACACAGTTAGCATGACCACCACTCCGGCAACAGCCAAAAGACAGCAAAAAGACTCACGATGCCCTGCTGCTTCCGGGACTTCTTCTTGCCACCCTTCAGCGCCTCGTCCATCTTCGCGTCCAGAGCCTTCCTCCGCCTCTCAGAAGGCGTCAAGTTCTCCCAGTCCTCCTCCGTCGGCTCCGGCCTGCTCCTCGGCGCCCGCCTCGACCGCCGCTCGACCGCATCCGCGGCGCCGCCCTCCTCGGCGCCGCTCAGGCCCGCGTCGCCATCCTCGCCCCGCCTCTTCCGACTCTTCCTCGGCTTGTCGCGCCTGCCCTCCCTCTTCTTCTTCTTCTTCCCGCCCTCGCCCGCCTCGGCGTCCGCGCGCTTGCGCTTGTGCACGCCGATCAGGTTGACGTTGCTCTCGTCGACGGCGATGGCCGGGTGGTCCTCGAGCGCGATGGCGTTGGGGTCGAATTCCTCAAACTGCGCCTCGTCCAGGTCCGACAGGTCCGACTCGGCGTCCGAGAGCGGCCCGTCCTCGTCGTCGGGGTTGTTGTCGTTGTCGTTGTCGCCCTTGTCCTCCGCGTCGGCCGAGCCCGTCCCTTGGCCCGCCTCGGTGAGCTCCATGTCCTGCTGCGGCGCCGCCGTCGACGGGTTCGGCGTCGCGTTCTCCTCGTCTACCTCCGGCCGCACTGGCTCGCCCGGGTCGTTGCCCGCCTCCGGGAGCGTGCTGGGGTCGGGCGGCGAGTTGACGATTTCCGGATCCTCCATCGTCGCGGTTGTGCTGGGGGGGTTGTCGTAGCTGTTCTGTTTGGATTGTCCTTTTCGGCGCGCGGCTGCAGTGGTAGGGAGACGGAACACGTCCGGGTGACGTGACGGTCGCAAACACGGGCTTCGCGATGGAGCGAGGTTGGCGGGATTGGAAATTGTTGTTGGCTTTGTGTGTTGGACGGGGGAAGGCCAGCTTTGCGGAGGGTTGAAGTTCGAAAGGAAAGCGCGCCAGTGTCGCGCGCCAAGACTTGCCTGACGAGAGATTTCATCCATCAGCTTTCGCCGCAAGCTCCGACATCATCGCCATCCCACCCGCCCACCACCCCAGCCTTTCCACCTAACACCACAAACATGTTCGGAGGTCCGTGAGCGTCAGCTTTGTTGTCTCAAGATAAACAGTTTTACTGAATTGTGCAGGACCGCCCCCGCCGCCTAGCAAGGAAGAGCTGCGCGAGCAAGAGGTGATTGCCAGTGCCGCTCTCGCCAGCAGCCTCTTCACCTGCGCTCTCCTCTACCTCTGTAAGCTCCGAAGCACCTGTCGGTATCCTTCGCATGATGCTGATTCGCGACTCCTCGTAGCTCCCTTCGCCGTCGAGTACACGAGCCGCTTTTTCTAAGCAACAGGCCTGACGACTACGTCATGTACCCACCAGAACAATGAAACGCTAGATGGATGGAACTCCCGCACAGGTGTCACCTACGGTATTGGCGTTAAGAGAGGGAAAATCTCCAATTGCTTGAACATTTCCTCAATGGGCTCGGCATGAAGCGCGGCCTGTGTAATATTTGAGAAGAGCCGACTGGGTTACGAGCTTGATGCGCGCCTGAGAAACGCCATGCCGCACCCCCGGTCCTTTTGTATAGCACCATGTTTCCACCGTAGAAATACACTTGCGTGGTATCTCGTTCAAAAAGGCGTGAGGCCCCATCCAAAATACCGAACCGCTCTCCAATGCAGACCCGCGCATAAACTGGTCAACCGCCCGCAAATCATCTGCCACCGCCCGAGATCGGCTTGTTCGACTCCTGCCATTCCTTCCACTCCTTGGTGACGCGGATGAGCTCCTCACGCAGATGGGCCAGCTGCTTGTCGAAGTCGCCCAGAACCTGTGCAGACATGTAAGTGGGACGAACCCATTGAAACAGCGCTTTGGGAGACTGACCTTCCTGATCGCCTTGACATGCTCCTCATCCAGCTGTTCGCCCTCGGGCTTGCCCGCGCTCTTCCCAAGCTTCTCAAGCTCCTCCTGCAGCGTCCTCGCGCGTTCCCTCACGGCGCTCATCCTCGCCCAAATCTCCTCCTGGCGGCCGTTGAGCATGGGATCGAACGCCTTCTTCTCCAGCTCCATCAGCTTCTTGCGCAGCTCCTCCTCGCGCGGGTCCATGGCGTAGCCCCTGTTGCGCAGGATCTGCGCCTTGGTCGCCAGCGCCAGGCAGCGCTTCGTCAGCGCAATGTGCTTGCGCTTCGCCTCGGTCGTGCGCACCGTCACCTCCAGGTCGTGCTTCTGCAGCATCTCCGTCAGGCTGTTGTTCATCTCGTGCAGGCGGGCCTGCAGCGCCTCGACCGCCTTGGCCTGCGTCTCCAGCCGGCCCGCCACGGCGCGGAAGCCGCGGCCCAGCACCGGGATCGCGCCCTCGTTGGGCTTCTTGGACAGCGCCTCCTCCCACGCCTTGGCGTCCTCGTCCGCCGGCGCGACGTAGTACGGCACCGTCTGCGGGTCCACTTGGTTGTAGAAGTAGTGCTGGAACACCGTGTTGCGCTGCTCGGGCATCCACTTGGCGATCAGGTCGGCCATCTGCTCGGGGATGGACTTTTGGTCTGTTTTCACGGAGAGGAAGCCGAGGGCTTGCGGTGAGTATCAGAGGCTTCGCGTGCAGCGGGTCCGAGGGGGCAGAACTTACGGGCTGGAGGCGGCGGGGTCCAGACATTGTTCGTCGAGGCGCTCAGCTGACTCGGGTGCTGGGCTGGTGGAAGCGGGTTGCCGAAGACGGTGGAGCCGCCGTAGAAGTTGTTGTTGGTCGACTGCGTAGGAGGCTGGACTCCAAATGCGCTGGAGGCGGCAGGCTTATTCATGCTTGCGCCGAAAAAGCCGGTGTTTTGCTGTTGCTGCGGCTGCTGTTGCTGCTGTTGCTGCTGCTGTTGCTGGTTGTTGGTAGTGCTACCAAAAAGGCTGCTTCCTAAGCTCTGCATCGCATGTCAGACAGGAAGTCTTGATACTTGGACTGGTTTGTTTACCGGCTGCGGCTGGGTGCTCGCACCAAACATGGAAGGCTTGTTCTGTGTGCTGCTGCCAAAGGCAGAGGCGCCGAATGGGTTGGAATTGGCCGTGGAGCCTCCGAACAACGACATTGCTGCGGGCGTGTGACGAGTACAGCGCGCGACGGCGGGACAATGGAGGATAAAATGTGCGCGAAAGGGCGGCGCGGGCAGCGTGCGGACGCGGACACGGGAGGACAAAGGAGCCGCGGGCCTGGGTCCGAAAGAGAGCGAAGGTCGATGGAAGCTGCAACGCAGCGCGGGACGGGAGGACGGGGGTGGGGACGTCAAGGGTGTTTGTGCATGGCGTTGCGGCTGATGTTGACCTTTGGCGTGAAGGTTCGCGTGGTGCTCAAGCTCGTCGCGCGGTCCGTCGGCAAAAGCCGGGGTCGCGCCGAGCTCAGGTCGACGTCCGCTCCAATGACCTGAACTCCATTCCGCATTACCCAGAACACCCAACGTTCCGCCAACATGGCCGCCCGCGAAGCCAGGTGAGCTGGTCCCGGATTCATGTCGCTATCGTCCCTGCCGCTGCGTCCGCGGCCCATTGGCCCCCTGCAGCCGGGCTGACCTCGCGCTCCGCAGATTCAACCAGCAGGTGCTGGTCGACACCACCCCGCTGCCCGACCACATCCCCAAGGTCAAGGAGATCGGTGCCAGTTCCGCCCCGCTTCTGTCCGCCTCTTTCTTCATCGGCGCCCGCTGCAAGTCCTACAATGACGACTACATGATGTGCAAGACCGAGGCCCACGGCACCGGCGAGATGGACTGCATGAAGGAGGGCCGGAAGGTGACCAGATGCGCGACCAGCGTGTAAGCGCCCCGACACGAGGAGCTCTGGAATCGACGGAATCGGGGCATGGTTGGCTGGGCGATCCGGGCTGACGAGCATCGTGCAACAGGCTGGAGGACATCAACAAGCACTGCCTCAAGGAGTTCCGCTACCACTGGCAGTGCCTCGAGGACAACAACCAGCAGCTTTGGCAATGCCGCAGGCCCGAGCGTTCGCTGAACAAGTGTGTCTTCGACAACTTGGTGTGTTTCTCCATCTACGCCCGGATACGACTGCGCCCCAGCAACATCCGAGGACACCATGACTGACAAAACTTGCAGAAGCTGGAGAAGACCATCCCCGACACGCCCAAGGGCGAGACGCCAGTTCACCTGCGCAGCAAGCAGATCTACGGACACAGTGCGACGCTTATGTAAAATTATTAGAAGGAATGCAGGCTCCTGGTTACATGTCAACATATCTCCTTCTTGTTGCGGTCCGTCGGCTGGATGGATAGTTTCTCAAGCGCGCATGTTCGATTTTCACCAAGTCGAACCTACTGACATGGCATTGATGTTAAAGGCTCGTGACGCAACCGCAGGGGCTCGGCAAGCGAGAAATGGCTCGGCAAGGCTTGGTCGACGAGCCTTGTCAGTACCTCCGTGTCCCGATGGCTATAAACCGTTATGTAAAGATTGTTCCTTAGCTTACCAGTGCCCGCCTGCCCTATCGAGACTGTCTTGTACCGCACGGCTTTCTCCACCCGAAGCTTTGGTGAAGTGTCTCGAAGGATCAATCATTGAAGCAAGCCCGTCAGCATAACATCTATTGTATGTCAATCTTTCTTGTGAGACAAATTCTATAATGAAGCCGTAGAAAGGAACCCATAATAACGAGCGCTGACGTCTCATAGTCTTCCGATTCACACATGGTCCCAGAGCATCGACCGCGGCGTTCGTGTAATGTACCCAAAACTCCATATGCGAGAGTCTCCTTTCGATGAATCTGTTTCACCTGCAGCAGCAGTCGTCCGCATCACACGCGTAGCACAGATATCGCAGACACACAAGTGCCGGCCGTTCGGAAAATCCGTAGAACCTTTATCCCCCTCCCCTTGTCCCAGGCGTCCCGCCTCTTATCAACCTGTATGAATATAACTCGGCAGGAGGCTGAAGCCACACTCAACAGCCCTTTCGACCGGAGAGACACTTCGATACGTAACCACTTCTCGTTAGTCCCCGGTAGGTCCTGCGAAGCGTTTAGCGGAGACAAAAGGGAGGGGAGAGAAAGCAGCAGCGGCCCAAACTCCTCAATAAGCCAAGCAAAGCAGCTCACCACGAGAGAGAGAGAGAGAGAGGGAGAGAGAGAGAGAGAAAGACAGAGAGAGAAAGACAGAGCGTGAAAGCCAGAGCTAGGGAGGAAAACAAAAAGGAAGAATAACGGGGGTGGGGCCAAACACCGACGGGAGGGAGAGAAAGAAAGGGGAAGAAAAAAAAGGAAAAAAGAACCCTCGTTCTTCCCACTCACCCTCCACAGCAGCAGCAAAAAAAAAAAAAAAAACGCCAGCCACGCACGCACGCACGCACGCACAACCCCCTCCTCATCCCGTCATCCCGTCATCCCGTCACTCCGTCCGTCACCCCGTCCGTCACCCCGTCCGTCACCCCGTCCGTCACCCCAACCCCTCCCCGGCCCCCTCCCCATACCCCACAACGAACATGTCCCCAGCCCCATCCGCGGTGCCCGTGCCCGCGCCCGCACCCACGCCCACCTCCCTCCACAGGCCCAGCTCGCGCCTCAGCCCCTCGACCTCGCCCCTCAGCCGCGCCGCCTCCCTCTCCGCCGCCTCGCGCCTGCTCCGCTCCTCGGCCACGTCCGCCTCCAGCTCGCGTATGTACTCGATCGCGCGCGAGATGATGCCCGCCTTTGTGGGCCGCTGCGGGGGGCGGCCCACGGTCTCGCTGCCCGCGCCCTCGTGCGCGAGGAACGCGGGCATCATGTTGTTCTCGTTCGCGTTCAGCGACGACGACGACGGCGAGACGGACGCGCCGCCGGAGATGGACGCGGAGATGGAGGTGGTGTTGGAGCCGTAGGGCGGCGTGTTGGGCAGGCCGGGGATGGCGGCCGAGAGCCGTCGGAACATGGCTTTGATGCCTTCGCGGTACTTTTTCTCGACCGCCTTGTGCGGCACGCGCGCGCCCGACGCGGAGTCCAGCTTGAGGTCGATGAGGGTGGTGGTGCTGGTGCTGGTTGTCGTCGTCGTCGTCGTCTGTGTCGGGACGCTGCCGCCGGTGCCGCCGGTGCCGGTGCCGCCGGTGCGACTCGTGTTGCTGGCGCTGCGGTCGCCATGCGGGGGTTGTCTCTCCGCTGGCGGTGGTGGTGGCTGGTGGTGGTGGAAGGTGGGGGTGCTCAGGGCGGTGGTGGTGGTGGAGCCGGTGGTGAGGGGTAGGGTGGCATCCGAGGTGCTGCTGCGGCTGCTCTGGTGGTGGCGGGTGGTGTGGGCGGGGCGGTGGTAGGGGTGGTGGCTCGTGGAGGGGGTCGTCGAGGCGCTGGTCGCGGCGGAGCCGGGCTGCTGGGTGGTGCTGCGGCGGCGGGTGTTGGAGGCGGCTGCCTTGCCGGGGCCGCCGCTCTTCTTTTGTTGGTGTTGATGGCCGGCAGCTGCAGTGGTGCTGGCCGTCTCTATCGCAGGCGGGCGCTGGCGCTGGCTCCGGCGCTTGTTTGGGTGCGAGTGCTGGTCGGGTTGGGGCTCGGGCTGGGGCTCGGGCTGGTGGGGGTGGTGGTGGTGGTTGTTCGGGTGCGGGTTGATTGCGGTGGATGCAATCTCAGCGTCGATTTGGGAGTTCTTCTTGGGCGGGCAGTGTCAACGCAGCGTCAGTGATTCCATCGTCAGGGCTCTTCCGTACCTCTTGCAGAGTCTGCCAATTGGTCATTGGAACATCTGAAGACGCAGTCTCAGCAGCCACACCTTGTTCATCGAGCCAAGTACTTCCCCAGCGAAAGTCAATGTCGAAGCCGTGGGAGTTGGCCAGGGGAAGCTGTGGGAAGGCGTGGTGGTGCCAGTCCTCGGAGAACCATTGGTCGTCGTCGGGATCCATGGGGGTATGGCTGGCTCGCTAATGTGTCATGGCCATCCGGGTGGAGGGAGGACGCGTGGGAGCGGCCCAAAGCTGATATTCCCCATTCTCCCGTATACTGCATAGAACCTCATTGGGTCCCGAGACGATGGCACAGCCACAGGCTGGGCAAATCACCCCAGGTCATAGGACCGCGCCGCACGCAACCGTCGCGTGAGAAAACGGCCCACGATACAGAGCAGCCCAGGCAGAGCCCCGCGCAGGGCACATGAGCGCGCGCAATGAGGCGAGCCGTCCGAGGGCCGGATGGTTCGCAGGGTTCGCAGGGTTCGCAGGGTTCGCTTCGGCTGCTGCTGAGCCACGCTGCCCGGCGATCAGGCCGTCTGGGGTCCGCTGCACTCCACATTCCCAGGAATTCCCGTTTTCGTCCCACTCGTGGCCGCCGCGTGCCGGCCAGTCCTCCCAGGCTCTTTCTAGGGGCAGAGGCGCTGGACATTTGCCTCGCGCCAGACGCTATTTAACGGCCGTTGTGGCCAGATCTCTCGCTTCCACGCGCCCGCGTCCTCCCACATCACGAGATCTCAAGCCACACCGGGCGCGAACGGCCGAATACGCGCGGATCCTGAGCGCCCCGGTACGCGCCCCCCTCGATCCAGCGCCAGATGCGAGATGCGAACGCCGCCCGTTTGATTTCATCCGACTGTGTCACGCCGTTACTTACTCATCCCTTATGACGTACCCGTCTTCGGAATGTGGCGAGATCCTTCTCTGTATTTCTTTCCTGCCGTTTGACACATAGTGTACACGCTGCCGGCCTGCGCGTCCCTCTCTCAACCCTCGAGCATGCCCTCAGCTGACCTTTTCCGTTGACTTCGGAGCCGGCCGCCTTGGAAGCCTGCCTGCTCAGAGCTGGGGTCGAAGCTGAAAGTAGTCACAAATGACGATTCGCACGCCCAAGACGCCCGCTGGAGGACTAAAAATACCATCAGCCATGGCGAATTGCTGGCTAGCAGAGAAACGACAGTTTGCTCGGTCGCCGTTTACTTAGACTTTTGCCGAGCAATCGGCGTGTGTTAGTCTGGGGCTATATTCCGAAGCTAAATTTCACATACACCTTTCCACCACGCCAACAATAAATTCCTTTCCAGACTGGGAGTAACTTACGGGCGGATCATGACAGCCCGAACTCGGAATAAAAAACGGGTAATGGATCGATGGGGATCCGCCAAGAATCGTCCGATCACAGGATCATCCCCGCCAGAACGTAAGAATGAGCTGAGCATTCAGGCACCCCGTTGCAGCTTGGAAAAGCTTATTGATGTCCCAGAGATCGCCACATCTGCCGTGTCCGCATACTCGGGTCCTGCCATGACTCAAAGCGCGAGCCGGTTGCATTTTTGAGCTCACCACGATGCGGTATACGCTTGCACACACGACCCTGTCAAGCCACCAATGCATCCGCTTCTTTGTCTCCTCTTACCCTCCAACTCCCTTTCTCTGTTGTGCTGAGGAGGTCAGTGTCAGCCAACCAAGACTCTTTGCAAACAATGACGCGACATATATCTTCCAGGAAGTTGATGATGCACTGATATCATCCGCCGGTTTGTGTGTAAATACCAGCCCCCAGAGGAGCCCCCTTCTCTACCTCAGACTCAGTTCACAAGCCCGATCAACTTCTCGATTGGCATGGCAGCACTGAATGATTCACTCTGCGCCCATGGTTCACGCTGACTGCCTGATCAACCAACTCGAAACCCGAGTTCAAGACGCGGGCTACCCGCCTCGCCCTGCTCAAGCCTCAAGTGATCCTCCCGTCCCCTTCTATTCACAGATCAACACATGCCGCCAAGACTGCGCAGTCTCGATAAGCGCCCGTGTGCTGACATGTATACAAGCGAGAGCCCAATCGCCTTCCGCGTTGCGGCACAGCTCTTTCTGGCGGCTTAAAAGTGTGCTCCTCGAACACTGCAAAATTTATACACATCATGAAGTCGCAAAGCCAGTCCAGTTTGACACTCGTCACCCTCGGCCTCGGCACGACCGACTCCCTCAACGACGTCTGCTACCGCAACCGGTACAGGTGATTATCTCTTGCCTTGCCATGACAACAACCACCGTGCTCTTCCCGGCGGCACAATCGCCGGGATAGTGATCAGTGTCATGGCCGCCTTGGCAGTCTCGACTGCAGCTCTGCTTTGATGGAGGAAAAGAAGAAGAGCTGAATATATACAAGGTCCATACAAAGCTGCAGAGCGGGAAATCGCTGACGCCGGGTAAGGGAAAATCCCGAGCTCGAAACGCACGAGCAGCGGCGGCGGTGGCGACAAGAGCTTGAAAAGGAGGCCGAGGTTGATGAGACGCACGGAGAAGGTGTGATCAGACAGCCTGCAGACCTCGCTGTGTATGTATTCGAGGCCGTCGGAGTTTATACCCGCGTATTCTATGACCGGCAGACTGGAGCTCTGAGTACAGGCGAGGTGGAATGGCGGCAACGATGGCTACGCAGCTAATACTCGAGCGTGTCTCTCAAAACCACTTGCCGTGAGGTGCGTCCTAGGAACAGCGATCGATGTTCGGCGGTAGGCGTGGAGCTGTCCTTTTCTGTCTCGGAGCCGAATAGAGCATGCATCGCCGAATGAGGATGACGATACCGGACGAGCGTGTGTGGACTGCGCTCTGTTGAATCTCGAGGAAAGTTTGCAGCGTATGGACTCGCAGCAGACCTTATGCAAAAAAAAAAAAAGAAAGAAAACACCAGCTAGTGCTACTGTCATTGAATCGACATGTCGAGCCTGTATAAAATGTAATCAACCAGCCATTGACGTGCTTGAAGCCGTGTTTCTGCTACTGAACAAGGCCGTTTTGAGTACTGTTAGTACTACGGCGACCCACTTCTATCTCAAGGAATGGCTTGATAGCTTCTGTGAGCGAAAACCAATTGACATTCTGTAGTCGTGCGTCGCCGGCGATACACCTCATACTCATCATTACACGCAGGTAGAAAAAGTCCGGGGGGGGGCCACTCCGAATTCCCACGCAGAGGGCATTAACAGTTCGAAATCTACGGGTATTACAAGCGACCATCTCACCAGCGCCCATCTACTTACTTCCCCTCTCCACCACCACCACCCTCCTCCTCCTGCCTCGCCCGCTTCGCCCTCTCCTCCGCCGCCCTCGCAAGCACCTCCCTCCTGCTCAACCCCTCCCCCGCCCCCTCCACCCTCACCTCCCCCGAACTCCCCACAACCGGCGCGCCTGCTCCTCCCCCTCCCCCAAGCACGTACTCCCCCCCCGTCCACCCCCCATGATCGCACGCCTCCCCCCTCATCTCCGGATCATCCTCCACCGGCGGCGGTACATACACCTCGTCCCCGCCCACCCCACCCACCCTCCTCCCGCCCTTCCCGCCCCCCCACCAATCCCCCCTCTCCACCTCCCCCTCAATCTCCCTGCACAACGCCCAAAACCTCCCATCATGCTCCCCCCACACGCAATGCGCCAACTCATGACACAGCGTCCGCCGCACGCCGCCATACTCCCTATACCCATCCCCCGCATCCGTCCGCAACCTCAGCTCCACCACCTCCCCGCGATTGCGATTGAGCCCCAACGTCCTTCCCTCGCGCGTCGTGTGCATCGCCGGGTCCATCTCCGTCAGCAGCCCCACGCTGAAGCGGTGCCGCCGCATCGCCGCCCGCACGCCCGCGTCGTCGCGCAGCCGCTCCAGCAGCGCGAGGCTGCGCTCCGGGTGCGGCAGGTGCGGCAGGGGCCGCAGCGCGTGGAACGTGTACGTCGCGTCGGCGCTGGAATGGCCAGCAATTCCCGCGACGGTGCGGCGCGGCGCGGCGGGCGCGGCGACGGCGTAGCGGCGCGACGTGCGCGCGGCGTGCTGGGCGGCGGCGTGGGAGACGGTCTGTTGGAGCGACGAGACCTCGGCGGGGGTGCTGCCCATGAGGAGGATCTTGCGGGAGGCGCGGACGAGCGGGGCGAGGGGGAGGGAGGGGTCGCGGAAGGGGGGTTTGAGGAGGCCGGGTTTGGGGGTGATGAGGAATTTTTGGTGGGTGGGGGGGATGGAGAGGGCGGTGGCGATGGCGGCGGAGAGGGTGGTGATGGTGGCGGTGGGGGGGAGGGAGAGGGTGTGCGGCGTGCCGTGGTGGGTGAAGGTTATGTTGAGCGTGTTGGAGTCGTCGATGGCGTCGGCGTCGGCGCTGTCGCTGTCCGAGGGCGCGGCTGCGGGGGGAGCGGAGGCCGAGGGTGGGGGGGAGGAGGAGGTTGTGTCGTTGCCGGCGGCAGGGGCGTTGGAGGACGTGGTGACGTCGGCGTCGGCCTCCATGGTGGTGTTGGTGCTGACGGTTGCGATGTCGTCGGTGGAAATGGATGTGTCGTGCGGTTGAGCTTGCGGTTCAGCGCTGGATGCCATGATGGTGGTGCAGTTCGGGCTTGCGGCTGATGATGAGCGGAGGGGTGTTGTGCGGGCGTGGCGGCGTCATCGTGGTCGGCGGGCGGTGGTTCATGATTATGTACGAGGTCCGGGGGAAGCTTGGGGGGTGGCGCCGCGGCGCGTCACGGTTCGTCCAGCTTCGGAGCTCTTCGCCTCCGGCCATGGCTTCATTTGTCAGCATTGGCATCATCAACACCACGACCGCCGACGCCGCCGGCCTGCAGCTTGAGGAAGCGAGTATCGCTAATACGAGTCAGGCATGCTTCGAAAATGCCCTTTCCGCCCACGGTTCTCCGTTGGCCTTATCCACTACTCCGTACGGCCTACCAAGAGCTTGATTCATGAACAGCCAAGCAATGGTTGATCCGAGCAACTCGGACCGGCCCACCCTCGAGTCTCGGCATAGGGAGTCCGAGTACCCGGGATGCGAACTCTTGTGTGGGCTGGAGCGAGGGTACGACGATGTCCACCCCAATCTTTACAACTCCGTCTTGTATTATCCTCAAGGGCTGGTACTGTTAGAGCTTTACTAACGTGGCCAACATCTAGCAGAGACTGACTGCGTCATATTGTCTGACGCTGCCAACGGAAGCATAAAAAATGCCATATCCAAGCTACCAGCGCGATCCATACACAAACTAATGCCATTTCGCTGCCCCACCAGGAAGACTGAAAGAAAACAGGACGCCAGCAAACATGCTGCTACACCAACCAAGCAACCCCGGGTATCATGGCTAAGATGCTCACGCGCTATGTGCGAGTATTAAACAAAACAAACGCAGAACATTGACGACAGAAACCGTCCGAGCCCGGTTCATCATTCGTTAGAATCATCAACAAGCTCAGGATGTCGGCTTTTCCGGATCTTCGGGTTCCTTGAGCCATAGCCGCTGTTCGGAGCTGAAATGGTGCCTGCTACATGTTACTACGACTGCTGTAGGGGAAGACTTCACGTTGCCAAACTTACCCTTCATACTCGGTCGCCGTCAAGGCCTTTTCTTGGTACTCCTGGATAAGAATCTTGTCGTATGCGTAGGGTATCAACGCAGGCACGCCCTCGTATGTGCTCTCCCGCATTGGATATAAATCGCCAGTGTAGTACCTGTGGTTGTTCTTGCAGGCCCACACACCGGGGTTCTCATCCGGTTCCGTTTCGCTCAAGCCGGTGATGTCGATATACAAGCCATTGCTTGTATCGATCCACCTCGCATCGATGATGTTCATCCCATTCCCTCTCACGCGCTCCTCCGAGTACGGGTTCACGTCCAGCAAGTACGTCCGTTCGACATCACTCCCGTCAGCAGCCTTGTAGTGGACTCGGGTGCGGTTGTGGTTGAGCCTGAGATAAGCCAGAGTGCGGTCGGCGACCTGTGTGTCGACGTCCCAGTCCCATGGCAGCATGCGGCCGCTCCACCACCAGCCAAGCAGCGTGCCGTGCGCGATCCACGTTTCCAGGCCTTGCTTGCGGAACCACGTCAGGTAGGCGCGCGTCATATGGCGAATGGTCGTCTTGCGTTCCTCGTCGGACACGACACCGTCAAAGTAGCGAACGTCGTAGTGGCCGAGGACATCATCGCCGCTGTGCAGGAAGGTTAGTTCGTGGTCTAAGGTGAAATGTCCGGACAAACTGGAGACCAGCAGATAGCAGAATGTGGAGAAGACTGTGCAGCTGCCAGCGATGGTAGAACTTACCCAGGCTCATCTGTAGACCAGTCAGTTCTGTTGAGCAGATATATGATAGGGAAGAAAGGGGGAACCTACGAAAGTATTTTGCGGGATCCACAGCTGGACCCTTTGGCCGATCATCATCCAGCTTCCCCGGATCTTCGTTGTGTTCCTGGGCGGTGGGAACGGCAGCTACTGGGCTTGCATGCTGGGCGAATAGCAAACAGGCTGCAGCTGCATACCGAAAGACTCTCATATTGGAACTGAGTTGAGGAAGGCAACCGGATTTGGGCGGACAGGAAAAAGCCAGGAGGAATGTAGGCTTATTTGACGCGGGCTCGGTAGCTTTGTTGAGGGAAGCCAGGGATATATGCTGTTTTCCGCGCTTTCCTCGAGAATGTATGGGATCCGGGCGGCGCGACCTCAGTCAGGGCGGTGAAGAGCGGCGGCACAGGAATGCGGGTAAAATGGAGTGGGGACGGGCACGACGCGCGGCGGCGCTGACGTAGAACTGTAGGAGAATAAATTGTGCCGACACTTCGGGACAAGTGTGCCTGAGAGGCCGGCGACAGAGGGCAGATGTAGCGGGCTCGAACAGCCGTCTGGCGGCCAAGGTGGAGGGACAAAGCCAATCAGGCGTGCCGTGGTGGACAGCTGGTGCAGTCAGGCGCGGAGCGGCGAGCGAAGGCTTTTGGGTCCAACGGCGTGAACTCGGAGCCTCCGGTCTACAGCGGGGCCAGGAACGAGGAATGGGAGGGAAAGAAGAGGCTGAGTTAAAGCCGGGGCCAGGACATAATAAGGCTGTGAGGCAGGCGTAATCGTACTCGGACGAGTGCACCTATACGTCAGATCCATGAGGGCGGCGGCTGGCGGAAGACGGCGAGAGGGTCGGTGTTTGGTGCCCGAGCGGGTAGCCAAGTTGCAGGCGTACGAAACGGGCAGGCACTCGCGTGAACGCGTGAGATTTTGGGGTCCAGCAGGCGGGTCGATTGGTCCGTCGGAGCAGCAGCAGCTCGATGCCGCAGCCATCCTTCCGGTTAGTCGGCAGCGCGCCAAGCTCGGCCAAGCGCGTTCCGGGGGCTCTTGGGGAAGCAGCACGGATTGATCGAGTGACGCGGCGCCAGACTCCCCGGCACGCGACCTCCCACAGTGCGGAGAAGCAGCCTGTGCCATCACTAATCTCACCCGTAGCCTGCTTTCTTCCCACCATCATTGGCCCGCGAGAAGATGCTGCTCCTCCCAAGCTTTCCGCCCCCTCGTGGTCCAATGGCATTATTGGCGGCGCAACGGCACGGCAGGCCAAGCGCAAACGCCGGCGGCGGAGCGGTTGACATGTCGGAGATAACGCTGCGGGCTCAAGGCGACGCGAGACAGTCATCCGTCAGACCTTGCGCCCTCATCCGGCCCCTTCCACTCGAGCACAGGAGCGAAAAGAAACCAAAGGACGATGCGGACAGCAAGGATGCATGTTGCCAATGGCGCCATGATAATATGGCCGCAACCCGCCCAACGCTTCATCCCTTTCCCTGCAACGCATCTCCTCTTCCCCCGCAAGTACCTGAGATCCGCAGAGCACGTCCCCTCAAGCCGCGAGTAACTAGGTAGAACAAGTCACACGAACAGCAAGTCACGCTTTGCTTGTTGCCGCCGCGACCGCTACACAAGGGCCGTCCACCCGCTACCCCGCCTGTTTATTACCTTCAGCGAGTAAGAGCAAGGAACGGCTCGCCGACCAGCCAAGCGTGCCCTTTCCTTGCCCCTCGCGCGCGAGCAACAGACGCAACAACGTGATCGGCCAACGGTTGCAACCAAAACCGTTGTGGCACAGGTGGCTGGCCTGTCTGTTCGCAGCTGGCCTCGGTCAACACCCTGTGTCTCACACATCCCGAAACGTCTCCTCGCCTGGCTGGAGCAAGACAGAAAACCCTCCTAGATTCCTCGCTGATTTGCCCCGTCGCACGTACCTCTGCCCATTGCTTCGATTTTCTTAGGCGTGTCTGCCAAAAGGAGAACGGGTATGCGTATCTTCGATGCCCTTCTTCCGTATTTGTGGTTCCCTCGCTCGCCTTCATCACGAATGCGAGACCGGAAAGACCGCCATCAAGCGTGTCTAGATGCACACACACACCACGTTCTATCTCCACCGTAAGCGAACTGTGCTGTGGCTGAGTACCTGTTCATTTCTCATCAGCTCCTTGCAGTCATCTGCCAAGGGAAAAAAGCCACCATATCTATCAAACACCAACCATGCGGGCAACGAAAATACTTTTTCTTCTCCCCACACAACCCCTTCCCCTTTCCCCCTCCTCCCCCCCTTATTATCTAATTCCCTCTGCACTCAAATGGACCGATTCATCTCCTTACGAAGCCTTCCAAAATGCTGCACTTTGAAAAGAAAAAAGAAAAGAAAGGGCCGCGCTAAACCAATTTCGTGTCTTCCTAGGTAATTACTCAAGCTAACCGCTTGGCGATGGCGGCGCTTGATGATGAGATAGACTCTTCAAATATACACATGCTTCCCCCCTAACCACCTTTCATCATGTCCACTACCAAACTCAGTACTGTGGGGCATCATCACCTCCGGCTTGACCCTATGGGAACAGACAAAGAACACAAGACCAGGATGGGAGAAGCTGTAGGTTATAGGGAGAATGAATATCTCTAGACTATCAACTCGACCCGTTCGCCTGTGCGCTTTCTTGTCCTCTCGTATTGTTCGCTACCCTCTCGTGAGTACCGACAGCTTTTACGTTGGGGACAGGGTTGCTCTAGACGCTGCAAGGCCACCACCCGGCAGGAAGGTTAAACGCATCTCGGTCCCGAACGTTGACAAGTGCGAAGGACCAGCACATGCTATTTCATACACCGCACAGAAGACCCTACCTAGGGAACAGGACTCACGTCACCCCTGCAGGCTATCTGTAAAGCCCCTTTCATGTGTCAATCGATCCAGGTTCCCAACACAAACAAGATCAATCAATCACGAGTCCCCACACCATGGAAAAAGTAAGATAAATAGACAGGCTGCAGTAGTCTGCCTTTCATTTGTAGTATCATCATTTGTTGCAACTACATGCTTTCTTTCCTCATGCCAACATGAGCTCATTCGTGACCGCAATACGATGTGTCTCGCAAGCAGGATCTCTGCTTGCCGACTGCTTAGAGTATCTCTGATAAATGAAAACCAAAAAAAAAAGTTTCAAAAAAAAAAAACCAGAACGTCAACGCCAGAATTTTCCCCAGGGTGAGAAGATTAAAAGCCAATCAATCGCTCAAGACAGGAAAGCAAGCAGCTTCAACGACGCGCAGCACGCATCTATGCCTTGAGGACCGACTCGAGGCGCTCGAGGAAGATGTCGGCGTGGTGCTTCTGGAAGATGAGCATGGGCCTCAACCTGACGGCCGCGGCGCCGCTGCCGCCGATGTTGATGCCGGCGCCCTTGGCGCTCTTGAGCACCTCGTCGCGGCGCGGGCTGTCCCAGGCGATGAAGGTGCCCTGGCCCTTGCCGCGGAGGTTCTGGATCTCGTTGGGGTACTGCTGAGCCAGGCGCTCGAGGCCGGCGTACAGGTAGTTGCCCGTCTGGGCCGTGTTCTCGACGAGGTTGAGGCGCTCGATCTCGTTGATGATGCCGCGGAACAGGAGGGCGCGGGCAGGGTCGCCCATCCACGTGTTGAACTGGCGGTAAGGCTTGTTGGGCTTCAGGTCCTCCCGGGCGAAGTAGTAACCAGCCGTCTGGGCCTTCTTGGAGAAGGTGACCATGTCCGGAGGAGACGGAAGGTTCCAGTGCTCGTGAGCCCAGAACTTACCGGTGGCACCAACACCAGTCTGGACCTCGTCGACAATCATCAGCACGTCGTTGCGCTGGGTGATCTCGCGGAGGCCGTGGAAGAACTGGGGCGAGGCGTGGTTGTCACCACCCTCGGACTGGATGGGCTCGATGATGATGGCAGCGGGAGGGTTGTGGAACTCCTTGATAAGACGTTCGGTCTCCTCAAGGCAGCGCTTCTCCTCGGCGGCGTTCTCAGCAGCGTGCTGGTCAAGAGGGTACTTGAGGCTGGGGAACGGAGCCTGGGGCCAGTCGAAGGCAGGGATGTCAAGCTTGTGGATGGGCTTGCTGCGGGTGGTGGAGAGCGAGCCGAAGAGACGGCCGTGGAAACCGGACTTGAACGACATGATGGACAGCTTGGGAGCGCCGGGAACCGTGTTGTTCATGGCCGAGTCCATCTCCTCGGCAGTGAACTCAACATCGGGACCACCACGCTGCACGCGCCTCTTCCACATGAAAGCCGCCTTGTATGCCAACTCGTTCGCGTCAGAGCCAGACTGGGCGGTGAAGACCTGGTCCAGACCCTTGGGGGCAACCTTGAGGATACCGGACTCGAGGATGTCGGCCCAGTCGTGCTGGGGGAAGTTGCCCAGGGCGGGGCGGTTGATGATGGCGCTAGCCATCTCGGGGGAGCTGGCGCCGAGAAGGAGGGCGGCGTTGTTGTAGCCGACGGGAATAGAGGCGATCTGGGCGTAGCTATCATATTGTCAGTTCCGGCCCCCGGAAAGGTTGTTCGGCCTCGGTAACTCACACATCCAGGAGGACGTTGCCATCCAGGTCGGCAAGGTAGTTGCCGTAGCTGCGCCTGTAGTCGGCCATCATGTTCAAGCTCCTCGTGTCGAAGACCTTGCTGAGCTTCTCGATGGCCTTGGTGCTCTGGGGGCCGGGGATGGCACCCTTGACGATGGGAGCTGCAGGCTCATCGGGGAAAAATGCCTGCTCAGAAGAGGCCGGGGCCGCAGCGGTGGCAGCAGAGGCATATTGGCGGGCGGCGAGGGCCGCGGAGGGGCGGGCAATGGCGCGCTGGGCACAGGGCCTCAGGGTGCTGGCGGCGCGGAGGGCGGAAGACATTTTGGATGTCTGAGCTGGCGTGGGAGTTGTGCGGGAAGGGAGAGCTTTAAGCTCGGTTTAAGCCGCCGATTGCCGTGAAGGACGGATGCGTGGCGCTCTTCTCCGCAAGCTACGTCGCGGATGCGCAGTTGGTGCGAGCTTCGGAGCTTGTCACGCGGCGATTTTTAGTGCGAAAAAGCGCGCGTAGTGAGCGTGAAGGCAGCCTGCGAGATGAGAGGAGGCAGAGGGCGGGCGGTACGGTGAGGCAATGGCGAACAAGAGTGGGAGGTGCGAAGGCGAGGTGAAGCTTTAAAGCTCCCCCGGCCGTGGCGGGGCGTGGCTATCGATTGCAGGGATGGCGCGGTGCAGCCGAGCCAAGCTTGCGCCCTTGACGCCGTTGCGAGCAATGCGGTAAATTTGACTGGCGGTAGCTGCGTTCGGCCAGTCGACGCGAGCCTTAACGCGGCTCCAGATCCAGCAAGCCTCCGCGATCGCTCCAGCAGCCCTTTCCCCGGAGCCCCTCCAGGGCGTATCCGGCGGCGGAGCGTGTACGGCGGCCGTCGAAACCGCCTCTCGGGACCCCGAGCACATGATAACGCGCTAATGGCGCTGCCCGCACCCGAACACATTACCAAATTTTTGTCCTTATGTATGCGCCGCCGTCTGAACGACATGCAGCCTTGACAAATGCCTTCCGCCCTCTGCGTCTCTACCCCGCCCACCACCCCTCCCGTGCCACCCAGACGATACCTACATGTCCCAATGAGCGAGACCAGAACCCAGTGCCTCCCTGTAGCCGCCGCTGAAATGCAAGACTTTCCCAGTGCCACAACGCCGTCCGAATAGCTGCGAGGCCGTAGCCACCCTTTTGTTTTGGAACCACTCAAGCAGATCCACCAATTCAATGCACGCCAGATTAAAAGAAAGAATTATGTTAGTCAAAGCCCTTTAACCAGAGAACGTATCGGCCAACGCCTCCAATTCCGGAAAAGATATTATTCAACCGTCAAATCATCTGCCGTTAGCGACACCAAGATGCCGAAGGCGATCCGAATGCATGCCGTCGAAGTTGTCGTACGAGTCGCTTGTCGATGGGGTGGCCAGCTGCATCGGACTGGGGTGGCCGTTCGCTCCCGAGCCGTCTCCGAGCTCTGCTTGGATGGCCTTGTTCCTCTGCACGCTAAGCTCGTTCTTTGCTTGCACACCATGGGCCGTTGCGTTGCTGATGTGTGACTCATCCAGCCCGTTCTCAAACGAGTTGAGCGCAGCCCGTTGGAAAGCGTCAGGTGCATCGGCATCATCGATCGCCTCGCCTTGCTCATTGAACATCGTGCTGTCAGCAGGCGGCGGAGGCGGCGGAGGCGGCGGAGGAGTATCGACATCTGTCGATTTCATCCTCTTGAACGAAGATTCGTCATCCCCTTCCATCGGCGTGCTAACCGACGTCTCGCCTTGCCTCTTGCGCTTGGCTGAATTTCCATGACCATCCTCTGAACTCTCACCCTTGTCACCCGCATCGGCCGACACGTCAGGCATAGCGTCGTCCCGACCGCCTGCATTACCAGGATCGCCTGGAGGTGTTGTACCACCGGACGCATCCGGCTGTTGTTGATCGAACTTCCTTTTCTTCTCACATGCTTTCTCCAAAGTCTCTTGGACGTGCTTCTTCATATCCTTGACATGCTTCTCCGATATTTTAGTCGGGTCCTCGACGCGGCCACGCTTGTAGTCTGAGTTGACGATCTTCTTCGAAAGCTATCGGGGGTGAGCGAGAGAGACGGATTGGGAGGATAGGGACAACCAACCTCCTTTCCAAGGCGCTTCAAGTCCTCTTTCGGAAGTCTCTTGCTGAATCTGTTCAGCACATAGCTGATATGTGGGAAGATCTGTGTACCATGTTAGCAGGCATCCAGCGGACTACTGAGGCGGTACACCCACAGTGTTCTCATAGACCTTCTTCTGCTTCTCCTCGCTATAAGACCTCCATCTTTCTTCACCAGCATTCTTGTCTTTCTTTGCCGATTCCGGCTGAGGAGTCCTGCCTCCTGGACTTTGAGTCTTCGGTGTACCGTCGGTAATCTCACGAATGATATCCTGGAGTTTTTGTTGGTGAGTCTTCTCCTTGGATGGGGCAGGAGGCTGTGGCGCTGGAGTTGTCGGACGCTGCCAGCTAGTCGCGCCACTGGCACTGTAGTAATAGATCTTCTTTTCCGCGTCTGTAGTCATGAACCATCCGTGGGGCAGTGGGTTGAAATGAGGCGGACGGCGGAATTGCCTCGGTCCTGCTGGGAAAGGCCTAGCTGGTATAGGGTTGCGATTGGAGGGGCCCTTTGGTGCGTCTGGCGAAGCCGAACGCTCCTTGGAAACACGCTCAGTGCGTTCAGCCCATCTTGAATCGTAGGCGCTAGGGCCGTTTTGCTCGCGCTTGACCCTGGGAATCCTGTACTCCATCTTAAGCTGACTCCATTCATGGAGAAGTCTGGATGCCTTGCTCGACACCCTCTCGTCCTCGCAGGACTGTAACTTCTCAATCGTCTCTTCAATGTTCGAATTTTGAATTTTGTTGCGGGAAAGACGAGGCATCATGTCGAGGATTTCGAGGACCTGCGCAGCGACATTGTGATCATCCATGAATGTGTTCAGGGTCGTCTTGAGGATTTGATAGCCGTGCATCCTGATGACGCGATTCATGACCTTTTCGTCGTCGCTGCTCTGGATGCGGCTCAGCAGCTTGACGGCAATCCACTTCTCCTTGCATTGCATTAGCGTGGCCATGACCTTGGTGACGCCGCCCTCATCGAGAGACTTCGGCTGAACGTTGTTGACGTATTCCTCGTCGTCCTCGGAGAGCTTCTTCTTGCGGGGCTTCTTGGCGACAGCAGTGTCCCAGCTGTCCTCATCATCGATGCCAAGCGCCTCGATTGTAGCATGGGACAGCTTCGTAGCGTTGTCTGTCTGCGTCTTGCCGCCGATGAAACCTGTGCAGTTTGCCTCACCGCAGTAGCATGGTTGCGGGTCTGCGCCATAGCGGTCGACGTTGTAGTTGAAGACGAGCTCCTCGCCGGCCTTGATGTGGCGCTCGGCAAAGATGCCCATGCGCAATTTCTCGCCAACAACCCATTTGTCCACAAAACAGTTGGGATTGCAGGAGTGGTTGCAGAAACGACCGAGGTTACCTTTCTTTGTCGCATCGACGAATTCGCCCTTGCTCAGGGACATGAAGTAAAAATGCCTGATCTTCTCGTGGTCGTACTGGACCATGCGGCCGCGAAAAGCCCGCTCGTTGATGACTTCTCCGATATACTCGTATACAAAGTCATTAGGCTTGAGGTCAGTGTTGGCGCGAAGTCCATATCCTTTCTTCTCCGTTCGGAAGACTGTGACGTCGGCGTACTGCTTTTTGAGGAAACGTTGGTTTTGGCAGTCGGGCCCGCACCCACAATCGCCGACGCATTCCATCTTGGTCGCGCGATTGATGCAGTCGGAATCCTCTCCGCACGCAAGGTTCTTCCTAGTCTCTGGGTCTGTAAAGGACGGTCAGAACAATGAACTCCAATGACAGTGAAAACGGAGGTTGATGGCATACCCCACTCCTCGGAACAGTCGCATTCAAGCGCATGCTCGGTCGAACCCATCAACTTGTTGCCATACGTGCAGCATTCGATGACATCGAACGTGCCCTTGGATTCTTCCGTCTTGTCCTCATGGTCCAAGTAGAGCGGCGGCGGCCTCGCGACGACCTTTTGCGATGTTGAGCGGGCGAGTTTGGGAGCCTTGCCTGGCTCCATCTTCACGGTGATGTCGCCACCGAGGATTTCCTCGCGTTCCGAACCCTGTCCGGGTGAGTCGCTGCTCCTATTGGTCTTGATCGGCGACTGAGTTCTTGACTCCGCGGCCTGCCCCGGTGATGCAGCATGGCCGTTTGATGTTGCGGCTGTTGCGGCTGTTGCGGCGCGCCCCTTCCCATCGTCTTCCACGCTTTGCTTCACGTCCGCATCTCCGTCCTCTGCAGGGGTCTCTGGCTCTAGCTTCATGTCGCGGCCCTCGGGCTCCGGGCGGAACACCTTGCTGTCGGCATCGCTGTCCGACATGATGAACGTCGACGAGGGGCGGCGGGAATCGGGGGGAGCCGGCAGGTGGGAGGGAGGTTGCGGCAAGTGAAGGAAAGAAAACCACGCTCCAAGCCCGTCGAGCACTAAGCGATTCCGTGTCTACTCAGGGCCCAAACTCGCAGCAGCATGACCTCCTGTCGCTCTTCCGCACCTGCGCATGCGCGTCGGGTGGTTTCTGCGCCGCGGGCAGTTGGGAGGGTGCGTGGACGCTGGGGCTTGCGGCGGACGAGATGCGCGTCGAACGGCCGGCTCGGTCTGCGGGCGGCGGTGAGGGCAGCGAACGGCGAGTGACGGCGGGAGCGGTGTCGCGAGAGGGAGAATTGGGTCGTCGAGCGAGAGCGCGGTCGGCGGGCGGGCGGGCGGCGGAGGAGAGAGCGTGGGTGGTCTTGCGGAGGAGAAGGCGAATGAAGGAGCGGTGCGGGAGACAGGAAGACCCTTCTTCGTTACGGCATGCTCTGCGAGTTACGCGTTCGGCGCAGCGTTACCAGTACCCGGATAACTCCCGCAATGACGGACCGTCACCGACGCGGCTGTGGCAGAGATAGCAGTGTCAAGTCTGCAGACGCGGCCCTCTGTGAGGCTCTACAGCCGTAGCTTGAGCGACATCTCGGCACTGCCTTCGCCGATGCGGCAGGGGTCTGGAGTGAGGCCTGTACGCCACAGGGCTCCAGAGATAAAACAGGGAACGTGATTGGCATGTGTGAATAATCATGATGCGTTTTTTCGCACTTTCCTCGCGGCCTAGACGACGCCGCCGTCGGCCAGGACACAGCTTTTGCTCTCATCATGCAGCGGGCGGCGACCGCGAGAGTGGATCGGAGACCGGCATGCGGAGGGAAGGTATGCTGCTCGCTTCCTTACCTGTCTCTAGACCACCCCGGACTGGCAGCGACCCTGCGGGCTCGACTTCCGCCGCAGTGAAACATAAGCTCGCTCGCGCAACATTCGGAGACAGTCACGTCACAGGAAGTCAAAGTCCGCTCACCGAGCGATCGACACAACACTCGCTTTGTGTATCAGCGGGCTGCATCCTGAGGCATTCGGGGGCATCCTGGGACATCCTGAGCCGACAGCCCATGCATTCCGACGCCTGCAGTATAGAGTCCTCACAGCTCGCCCGAACATAGGGCTTCTACGGTTTTCAACAGACCTTGGAAGTCTGATCTGCGCTAGGCCGAGGAGCTGCTGGACCGTCGCCAGGTACGGTTGCAACCTCCTCTTGTCGGCTCCTTATGTAATCATGTCTGCGATTGGAGCGGGGCTTGCCCACGTAAGGCATCAAGGCAACCTATTGACAGCAGACCGCCTCCATGCGTCATCCTGCCTCGGCGCAAGAGTTCAAGTATACCTCATGCTTAGCTCCAAGTCAGAACGTGGCGATGCAGGCTTACTCGTTTACATCGAGTTAGGAAGAAGATGGATGGTTCATGATGCACTTCCTTGCTCATTTGTCGACTGGCGGACAGCATCCAGCCTGTTATGGAACCATTTGCGAAATATAGCCACTGGATTGCCTGCCCGCGCACCGTTTCAGACGCTGGGTGCGGCAGCGCCTGTCGTGCCATGTATCTAAAAGGCCGAAGTATATTTCCCTATAAGGAAAAGGACGGTCGCCACGGACAATAAGATAGCGCTGGTCTGTGCCGGCTTCTGCCGTACTTCCAGAAGCCGAGAGCAGAACCCGGTTCACGGATGAAAAGATGTCTCTGCATGGGCGGCGGGCTGGAGATCGCTGGCTCTATGGTCCAATCGTTTGCCGGCCACCAACGACTGTGGCTCAGACGCGGTCCCCGCGCTGTACTCGCCCTACAACAGGGCGAGACTGCTCTCCGCAACAGATTCCTCGCGAAAGGCCGTCGGCAGAGCTTGCTGCAGGCTCACACAGCATTGCAGCGCCTTAATAACGGGGACGATAATCGTGGCATTTAACCGGGTGCGGAGGGCACCAAGCAGCCACAGGCGCCCAATCTGGACAACTGCTTCACGCTCCGTGCTGTAAAGCCAAGGTGCAATACTCAGCGAATCATTCAACGCATTCCGCGGCTGCAGGATAGCGCACATGTTGCGGAAGACGGCTCGTCTCTGGCAGGCGCACGCCAGCCGTGGCGTATATGTCTCGTATCAAGTTGCACCGGCGGTGCTGGGGCGATCTCTTCGCACGCACGGTGATCTCATCCAGCCGCGCTCGAAGCCCCCGACTCGCGTCGACCATCTGTGCGCACGATCGCCTGGCGGAGGCGGTCCTGGGCATCAGCGGCAGCAGCCGCGATGGAGGCACCCACGGCGCACGAGATGCTGCAAGGTACACGGGCGGCTCCCCAGAGTGAGGGCTGGCTGTATGGTGCTACGTGGCTCTGCAGGCTCGGCAGTTGCCATTGGGCGTGGTCGAGGGCAGATGGGGAGCCGGCAGGGCGGGAGCTGTGTATAAAGAGAGGGCTCGGGGGGGTGTGTGCAGAAAGGCGCCGGCACCGCAGCGACTCGACTCCCAGCCGTCTGGCGCCGTCTGCCACCCGGACCGCCTTAGCCGTGTCGACACCTTTTCAGCCGCTCGAGACGCCGGTTCGGGCAGGCGAACGGCGCGCGTGGGCGGGATGCTGACGTTGTTTTGCGCAGGACGCAGGCGTGCACGGCGCGGCGGCTGGGCTTGGGCAACGGCGAGCCCTAGTGTTGCAGAGAGGAGTCGTGAGACGCCCGCGCCAGGGGCTTGAAACTCGATAGCGACGAGCTTAAAAAAGTTTCAGTGTTTCGCGCTGGACAGGCCCGGCGCTGATTGGCCGGCGCTTGAGCCGCTCGCTCTCTGCTCTCTGCTCCCAGCCTCCGCCCACGCCTGCCCGGTCGCGCATTGCCCGAACAGGCCCAGCACGCTCGTCGTACCAAGGCGCACCGGGCAGCAGGCGGCGAGCACAGCCGGCAGGCCCGTCGCCGGCGCTGCTCGCTGCGCGGGCGCGGTGGTGTTGACGAGCAGCTAATTATGCACGTCACGAAGCTGCAAGCCAGCTCCATCCATGTCTGTTTTCCTCTCCCATCTCTCTTCTCGTCCCTTCTCGCAGCAGTGCTCCCAATTCCTTCATATGCCGCTCTGTGCGCGTCTGAGGCCGCCGCATGCAGACATGTAGCATACTCCTTTTCTGTACATCTCCACAACCACTCTCCCGCACGCTCGTTTCTTCATCCGTTTCACTCACCCTCGTTTGGTCCTGTTGCTTCCAGTCCCGCCCGCGCTGCCGCCGTATCGCGCGCGCGTCTGCATCCTGCTTGACGGCCTTGTGATCGCGTTTTGCTCATTTAGTCCTGCTGCATCGACCCCCGTGTATGGACGCGAGACTTTCTTTCCCTACGCCCTCCGTACTACTCCGACCTCCTCGACATGGAGCCTTCGAGGGACCTCCCTTGGGCTGAGCACGAGAAGGTGCGTGCGAAGAGCCGCCGCCCCTCCCACCGCTGCTGCCGCCGCGGCGCCCCCTCCCCCAGGCTGATTTAGGCGCGCTCCCCAGGTCTACCTTCTGGCCGAGATCATGAAGGCCGCGCCCGTCTCATCCGAGAGGCTGTTCCACATCATCAAGAGCGCCGGCATCCAGCCAAAGTGGACCGAGATCGCGCTTCCACAAGGTACCTGACAACCCTGCGCCAATCGCGCCCACCGACCACCCCAAGATCGCCGCATCGCGCCCGCTCGAACAGAGCTCGAATCTATTAACGCGTCAATTCGCTCCAGGGCGCTCTCTGCGGCAGTCTCAGATGGCATTCCAGGACCTTATCGCGCAATTCTCCGCCCACGATTCCCGCGGAGGCGGCACCGCGAGCGCGGGGCCCGTTCAGTACCACCTCACGCACCAACCGCCTCTCCAGCAGCACCAGCACCCGCACCCGCACCAGCATGCCGTCTTCCACGGCCACCAGCCGCCCGTCGAGATCCCTCGCAAGCGGCCGCTCGCCCCCGACGTGTCGACGCAGACCGGTCGCCTGCTACAGCCCCGCCCACCCAACCCCTACCCGGCGGGAGACCCTGCTGCTGCTGCCGCCGCCTCCACCGCCGCCGCCTCGTCCATGCTCCACCAGCACCAACATCACCACCAGGGCGCCGTCGCGGGTCCCGCGTACATAATGTCGCCGACGCTGGGCACCGAGGGCACGAGCAAGAAGCGCCGCGGCCGCCCCACGAAAGCAGAGGCTCAGGCGCGCGCCGCTGAGGCCGCCGCGCGAGGCGAGCCTTATCCGCCACCCAAGACAGGGAAGCGTGCGTCCATGGCGTCCGCACTGAGCAGCAGTAGTGGGGGAGCGGACGCTCCGGGTGCTGGGCGCTCAGCGGGTGCGGGGACGAGGAGTCCTGGCACGCCTGGGGCCGTGGGCGGCGCTGTTGGCGGCTCTGGCACAACGATCAGGCCCGAGCGTGAGCACATGTCCGTGAGTAGCATGATGACGGCGCCAGCTGGCGAACGTGGCCTTGGTGAGTCTGGCAGCGCTGGGGCACACGAGGGAAGGGAACGGGAAAGGCGGTCGAGCCTCGACGTGCCAGTGTCACCCAGAGCGAAACCAGAGGTGAGCGAGAGCGATGTAGGAGTTCTCGCATCTCCAACCAAGGCGGGAGCGCAGGCGCCTGAGGGCCGGCGCGATACTCTCCTCACACAGGGGTCACCCGCAGCGGTGTCGACAACTTCGTCCCCGGGAGAAGAGCGAGGGAGAGAGACGCCGCGCGAAGCGAGCGAAGAACACAAGCGCCGTGCGACACCACATTCGTTTAAAGACACTGTGGGCATTTAACGACCTTGAAGCAGCATCACGAGAGCCGACAAACAGGAGCACAGCATAGCAGCGTAGAGCAGGACCCCAACCAACATCGCATCACCACCCTCGTTACTGACCAAACCCACCCCATTGCCCTCGCTTGAACACCATCTACCCCTTAGGTCGCACATTGATGCACCGGGAAATGAGACCCAAGAAACACGATTCTCTTAGGGCGGCCATATCTTGTCGAAAAAGCAAATCGAGTAAGCACGTTACGCAATCATGCAGGACGACCCAGCACAAAATCTCTCTATCTTCAGAAACGCTGTCATGTCGACGAAGAGCGGAAGGCAGACTTCAGTATAACATACGGTTACGAAGTTACGCGGAGGATATTTGGCTTCGCATATACTTCCCCAATTTCCTACTCAAAAGTGCGCGTTTCTTTCAATCAATCAGGCGTTTTTAGGATTTCCCTCTTATCGTCTCAGTACTTTCCTCCTCTTTCTCCCTCACATCTACCTTGAGCGCTGTTTCCTGGAACGTTGTCGTCGCCCGTAAACAACCCCTTACGCTCTTCTCTCTGTCCATTTTAGCTCAACAGCTTTGATCGTCCATTTCTCACTTTCCAACGTTTCAGCGGTCTACGAGCCAAAGATTCACGACTCTCCTTATCGCACACAACTCATTAGGGGGGAAAATTCTGTTCGCGCGTCTTTTCTTCTCTTCTTCAGGAGCATAACATCATTGTATAGCGATTACTGCTCTCTTATCTACCCGTCGTCCTCCATTCGTCCCTATCTTTCTGGGGGACGAACAGAGGCGCGGATGACCAAGTTAATATGTAATCATAGTTCCTCTTTGCATCATTTGTCGTCTGCGTTGAAAGTATCATTTAGCGACTCTTATCCCCCGTCCCACCCTTCCTTCTCGCAAACATGAATACCGCTTTCGACACGGGCTTTATGGATTTCCCCTAACGGAGTGAACGTACACTTTTACTGTTGTTTCTTCTTTCAGCTTTTGGGCCCCGGCTTGGGTATCTGTTACTTTCCCCTTCGCCTCCGAATCTCTATGTACGAACATTATGGTTCTCACTTTCCCCACTAGGTTCAGGCTGTCTCTTTACGATCTCTTCTCTGAGTTTGTTCATAATTTTTGTTTCCATCTTTTTCTTTTCGCACACAAGATACTACTACTACATCTGGTTTGAGGCTTCATTCTTATTTTCTTCCACTAGTAACGGCCGTACAATCATAGCTATATATACACACATAAGCTGTAGAGTACTCGCGCTTGAGCAGCAGCAGCAGCACCACCAGCGCAAGCTTCAATTTTTCCTTCCTAAATGGCATACTGGCTACTACGGAGCGTGGCATATAATAGCCATGCTTTTTTCCCGGAGCATTAATCGTCCTCTCATTACGCATTACAACTACATAGCCCCATAACTTCATGAAGCTCCCCACATAATGCCATCTTCCGCCAAAGGTGGGTGGGCGTCTTCTCAGGAAATCAATCCCCTGCCCCCCTTCCAAAAATCCCCCTTTCCTTTTGCCCCCTCCCTCCGCTCTCGCCCTCCCTTCCACCCTTCTTGATGACGAAAAAACTACTGACCCTTCGTTCTTTTTTCTATAAATAGCCCAAACACCCGGTTCCAAGTTTTCGCATGCACGGCGGGAACGAGGGCATCACCCTGCAATTAGCCGCAACCTTTTCCCTTTTTGTTTTTTTTTTTGGTTGGTGTGAAGCCATCCCATTCCTTCGGTCGGCGGAACAAAGTCCGAATACTAAAACGTGACCTCTTTCATCATCATCTCTCATCATCACGCCGCAAACCCAGCCAGCGCGTTCTCACTCTCCGTCAGCGGCCACAGCAGCCACCAGAAGCCGACGGCGCCACCGACCAGCAGCGCGTAGTACGCCACCGTCCAGCCGACGTGGTCGCCGCCACGCGCAGCCGCCGGTGTCCACAAACCGCCGCCGCCGCCGCCATCCGCCCTCTTGCCCTCGCCGCCAGCAACGGGTCCGATGGGGCCGGCCTCAGCAGCAGCACTAGTCGACGACGACAGCGACGACGACGGCGCATAGCTCCGGGAAGGACCGGTACTATTCCCGACGCGGCCCCAGAGCCTGGGCAGGCCCATCCAGTTGCAAAAGGCGTGGGCGAGGACGACGGCGGGCAGCGAGGCGGTGCGGACGTAGACGAAGGCGGCGAGGAAGCCGAAGAGCGACGTGTACGCGAACTGGAAGAGCGAGCGGGCGGCGCCGGCGGCGACGGGCGTGTGCGGGTGCGTGATGCGGAACTCGTAGAAGTGGTGCACGTGCGCGATGCCGAAGTAGAGCGGGGTGACGAAGACGGTCTTTGTGGGTGAGACGTGGGCGGAGAGGTGGAGGGGGATGATGAGGGAGCGCCAGATTAGCTCTTCGGTTGTGGGGCCCTGTTGTGCGTGCGTGGTGGGGTTAGTTTTTGAGGTTTGGGGGTTGGGGGGTTGAGTAAAGCGGTGGTGGTGTGAGTGTAGGTGTGGCTGGTGGGCGCCGCATGTGGAATAGGACTTTGCGGGGAGAGAGATTATTGTATGGTTCGGTCGAGACTTACGGCGACGTAGTTGCGCCAGCCGATCCAGCTGCTGAAGGTCTCGTTGACGTGCCTTCCCACTATCCAGTCACGCCAGTCCCCGTCTACGATACCGTTCTCGAACAGTGGCCCGGCGAACAGGACGCAGAGCAACAGCATCACCTTGATTATATCTGGAATGGAAATGGGCCACCAACCCAGGTGGTGCAAAGCGTCCAGGAAACTATCGTGGGCGGACTGGGCGAGGATGTAGAGCGTAATCATGGTGCATATAATGCATGAGCTGGTGACGGCGCGTATGCGCGCGCGGATGACCGAGGGCGCATCTCGGTGGAGGGTCTGCGACGGACGGGTGGATTTGGAAAGGTAGAAGGGCACGACGTAGATAACGGTGAACAGCACCTGTTTGGGGGAGGTCAGAAGAAGCTCAATGCTGGGCGGAAGGGCGCATGGCCAATGGCTGGTTGCTCGGCGCTTCGCCAAAGGTGGAGAGGGTGCGGAACGGGCGGTGTAAGGAACTCACCGAGAGCAGAGCAGCGGAAGCTGGGGTAATGGCTGGGCCGGTGGCTACTGATGAAACGAAGGCTGGTTAGATTTGCAACGCGTGCTGTAGGGCGGCGGCTGCTGAAGAGCGGAGGGTGGGCTAGAGGGAGACCAGGCCACCAATGCCGTGGACGCACCTGGCTCACTGCGACCGACGCGCAGGCGCTCGAGGAAGTGGAGAGGCGCCATGGGAGAGGTCGGCGCTACGCCGTTCGGAGAGCAGTGCAGGTGGGAGGTGGCAGTAGAAGAACGCTCGCTGGGTCGCTTGTTCTTTGTGCATCCGCGTCCGTCGTCATTGTCGTGGGCGGCGGTTGGCCCTTGCAGCGAATCCACAACCGCGCAATTGCCGGAGCGAGGCGCCCCGGCCAGCGAAGACCGGCGAAGCTTGGGCGTCCTGGGCGGGTTAGGCTGCCGCTCCAGCCTCGCCAACGGCCAACCGATCGTCGACATCAGCGCCAGAAAGGCGCGCGGCTCAGCCAAGTCGGCCGCCCGGCAGCTGGCCACCAGCCACTGCAGCCGCCGCCCCCAGTCTGGCGTCAACGAGTGGCCGGGCCGCGGCCGACTGGTGGTATCGATAACAGCCGTGTCCGTCTAGTTAATCTCGCCAATGCACACCAGCGCCGGCTGGGCCACGGCGCGTCCAGGGCGCGCAGGCGCGTTTCGCTGTCCGCCAGCCCGCAGGTGACGATCTGCTGTTCTCTCTCCTCGCACCGGCCGCCGTCGTCTGCTCCTCGTCGTCCTGCCCGCGCTGCTGGCCATCCGCAATCTCAACCCTCGCACGCCCGTCACTGCGCGCGCCGCCCCGAGTCCAGCGCGTGCCTCTGCCGCCCCGTGCCTCTCGGCCTCGTCCAGCGTCGTCCAGCGTCCGTGCCCCCCTAGTGCGCCGCGGAGCAGCTGCAGCTGCAGGCCTGCTCGTCCGTCGCAGAGGGCGCCGGCGCCGCTGAGGCCTCCTGAATATTTACAGCCAGACGCTGCCCGCCGACCCCAAACTTTCAAAACCTCAGACGCCGTTTCGCTCCCTCACGCGGCCCCCAGCGCCAACCCGCCCAATTCTCTCCCCTTTGCCATGCTTTTCTAACTACAAGTCGCTCTCTGCATCTATTCCTATTCTTGCATATCTTATTTCCCACGGATTTTTGCAGCCGCCCGCATTCTTCTAATTTAATGTCTCTTCGACCCGGTCTTGTGCCTGTTCCCCGAGCATTTGCCCCTACCCCCATAGCATAGTAGGCGGGGGAGAGACATGTCTTCCCAGCCTACTTCCGACACACACTCCCAATCGCCGCCTTCGACTCCGCGCGCCACCCGGCCCGTCTCCCACACGACCTCCACCGCCGGCGGTCCCACCATCCGCATCGTTGAGGACCCAGGCTCTCCCGTCTATGGAAAATCCCCCTACCCGGCCGAGTCGGCGCAAGTCCTGTCGCCAATCCTGTCGCCATCACGTCATGATGGCCTTGCCTCGCCTGTTTCAGATGCGGGACGCTCACCCAGTCCTGGCGCAGACTCGCAACGGGGTTCGTTTGTGCAGCGAATGGCCGCTCGGTACGAGCACCTGGGCACCAAGCCGGCCCCGTCAGAGCCACGACAGTCTTCCGCGTCTTATCGCGCGTCGACGTCAACCACGACGTCCAATGCCGAGACGTTGGCCACGCTCGCTGCGCCTTCCTCCCCTTCTTACAACCGTTTTTCCCAAGGCACCACCCCGCCAACATCACCCCTACCCTCGTTCTCCGACCGCAAGCATGACAGCTTCGGCAGTCTGAGCTTACTCCAGGAAGAGAAGCCTGCGCCTGCACCTGCACCTGCGCCTGCACCTGCGCCGAGTGCGCCGAGTGCGCCGACTGTCCGCGCTGTTATTCCTTCTTCGTCCACCACTGGCGACACCGCCTCGAGCTTCAGACCGTCTCAGGAAAACTCGAGACTTTCGCAGGACTATTCGCACGATATAACACAGACTACGTACGACGATTCCGAAACTTCCACGCCGACTTTGACGTACCATCACAAGGATCGTCACGGCTCTTTCAGTTCTTTTTCTTCTTCGCGCAACACACCTGCTGATCGGCCAGCCAGTCGCGGAAAGGGTCCCGAGAACCGCCAAAGCTTTTGGGGAAGCTCTTTTGACGAAGCCTCCGATGACAGACCTCCCACTCGCGGGAGCAACTACATCCGCCACGGTTCCGACTCCGACGAGCCCGAGCGGCCCCCGACAAGGGGCTCCAACAGCATCCGCAGTTTCTCATCTGGCCACACCGTTAACAGAAGACCGTCGAGAGCAAATCTCAGGGAAGCCTCGGACCAGTCGTTTAGCAGTGGAGAACCAATCAACCGTCCGCGGTCATCGAGCAGTCCACTTGGCACCTCGCATGAAAACCGCTCAATTGAGGATAACTCCGTCATACACTACCCCAACCGGCCATCTTCTTCTGGTGAGGAATGGTCTCGTTCGCGCATTTTTCCGCCCCCGCCTCCACCTATGCCCGAGCCCGAATCACCGCCAAGGAGGTACAAATGGAGTCCCCCACTTTCGACCATCGAGTCGGTTTCCGAGCCGCGGACCGGCTCGGTAGCCAGCACAATGGCTCTCAGTGGAATGACTCGCTCAAACAGGAGGCAGACAATGGGTAGTTACGGTTCGTCGGATCCGTGGACTTCGTCTGAGCATCGTTCTTCCGAGAGCCGCCCGGACATTCCCTCAACCCCAAGCGAGTTTTCGGTGTGGCCCCGCCCGGTCTTCGCCGGATCAAGGAACGGAACCGGTCAGGTGGAAAGCCGGCATTCAGAAGAGGGCAACGATACGGTGGGAGAGCTGCAACCTCAGCCGCTACGTCTTCAGCGATCTGGTCTGTTTCGGAGAGGTTCAAATGGGAACCTGTCCAATGACGGACGGCCAGACACTGCAGCGTCGGACCGCAGCTCTTACTCCAGCCTCTTCGCCAATAGTCTCCCACAATGGGCGAGGTAAGTGTCACATCTGCACGCGCCATGCTCAGCTGTGGCTGGCAGTCTGAGTGGAAGAATGAAAAAGCGCTAACCGCCACTAGGCTATACTACCGTCGCAGCGAACGTCTATCCCTGGCGACAGACTCTTCCAGTTCTCCCAGCAACAGCCCTCTTCCCAGCCGCTCTGCAACTGTGCACTCGGGCACCAGCCGCTCACCAACAGAGGCCAACTTTCCCATTCACCCAATCTGGTCTCCGCGACGTCGGCCGCACGAGCGCGACTATTCGGGGTCTACCTCGGGTCGCGGATCGCTGGGACCGAACGTTATGCCGTACGACTCCCAGGATTCTATTTCGACTGCACCGCAGCGGAGGCCTGGCCAACGGGCTGAAGGCGCGAGCCGTGGTCGTGCCAACACGGCTGGAACGAGGAGCATGCCTCCTCCGACTGCGGGTGGAAGAGAGTCGTTCACACCTAGGTTGCGGCGCAACCGCAAGAGTGTGACGCTGAGCGTCTGGACAGCCCCAAGCATGGACCAGGCGCTCGGTGCACCTGCGAACAAGTTTATTCTGCTCTTTGCACTTGGATTCATTCTGCCGCTGTGCTGGTTCATTGCGGCAATCCTCCCGCTCCCTGTGCGGCCCAACGACGAGTTCGAGCGTCTTGAGAGCGAGAAGATGATGGCGGAGAAGGACCAGAGCAAGGGCAAAGAGCGAGCAACCGAGTTGCAGCCGACTGCGCCGGGAGGTGGGGCCATGACGGGAAATGAAACTAATATCGAAGCGGGACTCGGCCTGGATCTACGGAATAAGACGCAAATACACCAGAGGGACTGGGCGCAAGAAGAAAGATTATGGCAAAAGGCCAAGTGGTGGCGGAGAGTTAATCGGGTCATGTCGGTGATCGGAGTCGGCGTCATCGCAGCAGCTGTCGCCCTCGCTGTGGTTTATACGAGGTAAAGAGACATCAAAAGTCCTTTTGGGTGGCTGCATCATTCTTCGGGGGGATTTTTTTTCGTTATGTCGTCATTGTTTTCTTGATATCCTGCCATGTTCTCGTGGCTCTGTTCTTTTCAAGATCAGTCATCTGACCTCTACCTATCTACTACCTACCTACCTACCTTACCTATCTACATACCACTCTCTTACGCTCTAATGCCGTCATGCATTCTTCAAATCCCCTTTTCTTCTTGGCTTCTCATCCGCGCCTTACTCGTGGGGGCGGTTTCCTCTTGTTGATCCTTTCTCTTCGTGATTTGTTTCAGACGAAGTCTATGATTGCACGGCTCGCAACGACCTCCGGGCTCTTTCAACCATTTTCATTAGACGCACGCACGCACGCACGCACGCACACATACGCTGCTCTCTTTTCATGTGGTTTGGTGTCTTGCCGTTGTCGCTCTTCTGTAAAGTTGCGAGTACAACTGCGCACGGTGTAACAAGTACAGTTGGTCTGCATGTCGCGATCTGGTTTCGAACGTCTTTTTACATTCATGGGTAATGTCAGAGGAATGGCTTAAAGATAGTTGTTTAATGAATTGAAACTTATACTCTTGCTCACCCGTCTCCTTGGACCCGAGTCATGTATGGTACTAAAGCGCCTGGGGACATGTGTTTGTCAAAGCGGATCTCGGTGGTCGGGTACGGGATGTGCACTTAAGGTCAGGGAAGATCTTAGGGTTTGTCCCAATGCGGCAATGAAGCACGAGAGTGTTAAATGTGGAGAATAGTAGAAGGTCAGAGCTGCGCGGAGCTCGTGCGTTGGTTTATTGGTATGCATCTCAATCCCAATACATATGTGCTTTCCATACCTACGCGAGTTGCTGTGGCTCGCTTTTACGGCTGCTGTTGGCGAGTAAATAATGGTGTTCGCCAGTCAGGCAAAAGTTCCTAAGGTTTCTTGAGTTCTTGAGGAATAATTTAATACTGTAGCTGAGTCCTCAGGGTCCTTTACTGGCGTGTTTAAAAGCTTTTAGTTAAGAAAGTGCATCTGCTTCAATCGAACTAAGAGCCAAGAGAACTGATTGTATTTACCTCATTCTCGGAATGCCTTCAGGGTGTAATGACGTGAGACTTATGCACTCATATGTTAGTCCGCTAGGCGAATGTTACCTTGGTTACGAAATAATAGAAGGTAGAGGTGCAAAGCCCCTGGAAATATACAACAGCATTCAAGCATGAGAAAATCATATAAGTGACTATGTAAACGGAGCTTAATGGCATTCACAGGGTATGAAAAAGGCGAGACAACATTGGAGCTTCTCTGATTAGACATATACATAGACGCGTGAACGTGATGAATTAAGGAGGTTTAGATGCAGTGCTTAAGAGAAGAAAGAGGGGTATTGAGCACCAACAGACCGAAAAGATGTAAGATCCATGCCCCTGACACAACTATACACATAGTGGATGGATATGTATATAAATTGTAACAGAGGCAATGGGAGTTCGGGCAATCTCTATTTCAGAAATCCGGACACGAACCAGAGGGGATCGACTTCCATGTCGCCAAGTCTCGGACATAGATTCCAAGCCTTGCGTGTCAATTTTGATTCTCGTTGATCCTTCCGAGTGTGCCTGCAGAGCGGTCGACGAGGTCTCGACTCCCGGCTTGCTTGGACTTGGAGGAAGATCCCTCGTCTTCGAAAGCGACGGATTTCTTTGGGGATGTGGGTTTCTTCGGGGAGGTTTTTGGTGGGGATATCGACATAGTGTGTGATTCATTTTGCGTTGGTCGTGAATCTTTCCCTCCTTGGCGTGAGCTGCCTTTTCTTGGGCGTGGATCCGGATTGCAGAGATAGTTTTCATCCTCCTTGGCCTTCTCGAGAAAATCTTTGAAGGAATCGCATAGTCCACGCGCATGGATCCTATCTTTGGCTTCGACGACGAGGAGATCTTTCATAATGAGGTCCACGAGATCATGGATGAATTTCGAGCAGTTCGGATGTTCGTGCAACCTTTGCGCCCAGTTGACGACGTCGTCGCGCACCTCGGCGTTGGTCCCGCCGGGTTTATGTACGACAGTGAAGAAATAGTCCTCAGCGAACGCGGGGTCGAGACTCGATGTACGTAGTCGACTTTCCGAGAAATGGTCGATGGCGTCGAAGCCCATGATGAGCCAGGTCGCGAACTCGAGGTAGAGACAGCCGAGGCTCCAGAGGTCGTAGGCACGGGAGACTGGCCGGCGGAGCCGGCACTCGGGTGGCTCGTACGTCGGAGAGCCGACAACACCGTTCGGCTGCGGCTCTGTCTTGGAGTCTTGTCCGTGAAATCGGCCGAGGCCGAAGTCAGTGATTTGTAAGACGCCTCCTTCTTGATCTTCCATGCCAGCCTCCCGTTTGTATTGGTGCTCGGGTATCCGCCGGAACCAGAGGATGTTCTCCGGTTTGATGTCACCGTGTCTTCCAAAAAGCTCTTCGCCTTTCGTCACGCTGAATTCGACTCCGCCGGTGGATGTGCGGCCTTTACCATCGAGCTTAACGGTCACCCGAAAGTTGTGGATTATGTTTAAAGCCTTTGCGATGCCGTACATCTGCTTCAGTGACCAGAGAAAGTGCTTCTTGTCGATTTCTGGTGTCGGGTTTTTGTTCCAGTACTTGCGGAGGTTGCAATCTGCCCGAGGAAAGATGAAGTGATACTTTTCCTTGTACTCATACGTCGCCAAGAGTTTCACAAGGTGTGGGCTTGCATTTTTCTTCTGTCCGAGGGTTGTGTGGATGCTCCGCTCCTTTTCGAATTCGTCTGAGTCGGACTTGTGGAGACGTTTGATTGCGACCTTGTGATCTCGATCCTGTTGAATGAGAGTCAGAGGCTGAAAACTCTCGGCCTCCCTCCTAGTGACCGCTTACCGTCAATGCCCAATGGTTATCGAATTTGTGGTGTGCCGGATGTATGCGAGTGGTGAAAACTTCGCTGTACCCTCCTCCGCTTTTGTTGACGGGCTCTTCTTCTTCGTCTCCTTCCGGGTCCATGAACGGCAGTACAGTGTTCATATGGAATTTGTAGTGCTTCGTTTCGTCTTTGAAAATAGGGGCAATCATGCACCATTGCGTTCCGCCCAGCGACTCCAGATCTGCTTCTTCCCAAGCATCCAGAGTTTCGATTCGACTTCTGTCCTTTCGCTGTAGTGCAAATTTGGATTTGCTGTTCTTGATTCGCTCGAATGGCAAATCTTTGTCCGAAATGCCTTCATCCAAGAATGAGCAGATGTCTTGTCCCTTCTTTAGGTACGCCAGAATAGCGAACAGGTTCCTTGCTTCAGCGCAGACCCGTTCGGCTTGGTCTCGAGCGCCATTGCACCCCAATTTGGGCCTTGCCGCGTGGATCACACTGGCAATCACCTCCTTGGTAAGTATGGAATCCTTGGAGCTATTGGGGACGAAGAACTGATGTGACTGTGCCGGATATTCGACTCGTGCGGCCTGAAGCTTTTTTCGCAGTTCCTCCGCATCTTCATGTCGCCTGAATAGGTTTACGAAGCCGATCATGTTTCTGAAGGTGATTCGAAAACACTGGATGCCGAGTCCGATGATAGTAGTAAGGCGCTTCCAGATTCTGGGCATGACTGGGTGCCCCGTTAGAGGATTGTGCAACAAATGATGGCTGTCTCTGTCGGGTCAGGCTGGTATCACGCATTGCGCAAATGCGTGTGCCCGATATTATGAGCCTGGCAGGCGCCCAAAAGGCTACTATCGGCAAAGATATTCGAAGCCGTAGTGTTAGAACCCAGCTCCTGCGCAGGCGTCTGACTTGGGAGGCTATGTCAGCCCCGTAGCCAAAGGCAGTTAAACTGCTTCAGCTTCCTGGCCGTGTCCAGCCTCCACCATCAGAGTCGAGTATGCCTCGGCGTAACTTGCATGCATTTGTTGTGCAGGAGCAAGCCCCGGAGAGTGGGTATGGTGGTCAGCGAACTGACCCAATTGCTGAAGCATGTTTCCATCTGCCCTATCTGTAGTTGAGGCAACGAGGCAACGGGGCAATGAGGCAACGAGGCAACGGGGCAACGGGGCAACCAGCCAACGAGGTGCAAGCGACTGCAACACGAGATCGAGGCAGCCATCGATGGAATCGGGAGTCCCTCTAAATGTTACATCACCGGTGCTAAGCGTGCTATAGTCCGCCACAATTTGCCCCCCGCCGCCTTGCATAATCGGGACCTGGCTTGCATACTGTCCCACAAGGATCTGTCGATCCTGGCCCACCAATCAGCCGTCCTTGAGTGTGAGCTTTCCAGTCGACCATGTCCTGGTGGAAAGGATACCGGGTCTGCTCGGTTGGACATCTGGGTTCTCGGTATCACCCACACGTGGTTGGTTTTTACGCCGCCACCGTAGCGCCCACCCACCCTTGCATCCTTCAAGCAGGCCCGTCAATGACTTCAGCGAGGCCTGCGAGACTTTGTATCTTACGCACAGCCACCATGTGGAGATTGTGAGAATGGTCAGAGGCAGGGAAATGGCTGCGAGAAGCCAGGTATCGCCGGTCACGCTCATGTTTCCGCTTTCGTCTTTTTGAACAAATTCAGTGGAGAAAAAGTTCTTCACCTTGAAGTCAGCAGAAAGGAAACTCGAAAGGGTTTCCTGGCTCACCGCGACGAACGTGGTTGGCAAGTACACCAACCCGATGATTGTTAGCACCTTGACCGCTTCCGCATCTTTCGTGCTTTTTTCCTGGGGTAATCGTCAGCCAGACTTCAGTGATTTTCCCATTGCCGTCCTACTGCTAATGATCGCATCATTCTGTTTTCCTCTTGAGATTGCTTATTGAGGTCCTTCAGAGCCTTCTGATCTTCGTAGCGTAGTAGGTCGGAGAGCTGTACGTTGGAAATCAGCCACCCCATTTCAGTAACCATTAGCGGGACACATACGAGTTGCCCCGTAGAGATCACTCTTTCTTTCAAAGTGGCTGCTCTGTCAATGCAAAGGTTCACCTCTTCGATGTAAGCGTCCAACTCTTGAAGTGCGGCGACGCAGCTACACTCGTCTATATGATGAGCCAATGTACAACACTTCTGGCAGTAATGGCGGATCCCCTCAACGGTACTACGCAGGGTGGATAGGATGATTTGAAGATCGATGATCGAGTCCTCGGAGACTTTGAGGGCCTGTCGATCGTCGACGTCAAAGGTGAAACCCTCGTCACTTCCATCTCCCTGCGGCGGTTCAAGATCGGCGAACGTGATCCGGACAGACTAATGCACATGTTTTAGCAAGAATGAAACCACAACAGTAGCGGACCAAAAGCTTACGACTTCTTTGACATGTTTTTCAAGCCAAGAAATGTACCCCATCCAGCCTTTCACGCTGTCAGCAACAATGAGACTGTGCACAATGCATGGATTGGCTCCTTCTTCTTGCGTGAGTGCGAGCTTGAACAGCCGGCTAATCTTCTTCTCTACAGCTTTGGACGGTGAGACCAAGAGCACAGTGGACTTGAGACTTGGGAAAGCAGAGGCGCAAAGGGTATCGTGTGAAGCATCTTTCCGACTGCAGAGACGATGATAGACTGCAGTTTGACGGATAGACCAAGGACTCTGTCCCTCGCTCGCGTCACGGTGGTTGAGTTCGGCGCGCCTGACCACATACGCTGACTCTGAATTTGCATTAGCCTACGCATGCACTGTTCTTTGGAAAAAGCACAAACCAATGGTCGGCTGATCCATTATCATGCGTATAGGGCCGCGTGATTTGAATCCAGGAAAGTCGCACTCGTCCTCATTTGACTTCTTGCCAAACGTGAATATGCATCTCCAAAACGGGGGGAACACAGCAAAGATATCAATGAAGTCTTGGAGGAGCTCTCTGGAAATGTCGAGAGATGTCCACGAACGCTCTTGACGGATGATGAATACTTGGAAGAAGTCATTCGATTCCTATATCTTGGTGAGTTTCCAGTGAGCACAACAGAAGGACATCACTTACTGCTTTGAGACTTTTCAGTTGTGATGTACCGTGCACCACCATGTTTTGTCCGAATGAAATCTCTTCCGTAGGTGGAGCAGATGCGGTCCAAGATAGGCGATAGAGTTGCATCTGAGGCTCGTTCGGCCTGGGCCCAAACAGATTCTTTGACCGCTTGTTAGCTTCTGCCTGGAGCTCCCAATCTTCTTCTTCAAGGTCAAGAAAAGAAGCCATGGCGGATTTTGGTCTTTGCGTTCTTTGCTGACGGCTCCGCACTATCACCTCGGCTGGACCCCAAAGTTCCTCCCGGCCCAGCTGCCATGGGGGTCATAGAGAGCTGATCAGGGAAACGCTCAAAGCGGGGATCGCGCAATGATTAGTTATGCATTCACCGGATTTCGCTTATGCACAGCACAGCCTCGTCGACACATATGCCGTTTTGGTTATCGCGTTGCCTGCACAGCATAACATGGGTAGGATTGGATCATTCGTCATTGGTGGACAAGCTAAGAATCCTGTGGCACACTCGTACGTGATAAGAAGGCGCTTTCGCCCCCTCCTTCAGCCTGTCAATGCTCTCGTCATGCACCTCACATGCGATGACGCCTTGCCGAGATGGAAGTGTGCCCCCCTTCCTGCTCTCCTCATCTTATTGAGCTGCCTACTTCGACCGTCCACGCGCATTTATTCACTGGTACGATAATGAGCCTTGCCACCACTTAGCTATTGCTTTGATAGGAGTTTGCACACGAGAGTGCTACTACGGAGGCTCTAGCCAAAAATAAATGCACTGCAAGGCAGCCAAGAATTCACCATCACCATCTCCGGCGTGGTGCTCGGCACTCACGAATCTGATCCTTTCAGGAATTAGCTCTTCTTCCTCCGTAGCTCCGCCTCATTGAGGACTCCTACTGGCGTCAGCCCGTCTGCGGTATCCGTTGCTGGGTAGATCCTATAGCGGTTCAATCGCAACTACAATCAACGCTTCGTTAGCCTTGCTCAAGATGCTTCGCGGTCCAGAGCAATGACCTACTTCCACACGGAAATTGTCCTGGCCGTAAACATCACTGAGCAGGCCAATGAGCTTCCGAGCATCAATGTCTTTGCCCTCGATGACTTGCACGGGTCGTGTTGCAACCGACGTCATTTCCGGAGGAGAATGGTTCAGATATTTTTCGAAAAGGATCAAAGTTTTGCTGTCAAAGTTTCTGACTCTGGAAACCCGCGCAACGTAAATGTGGGAAAGGCTCCCTGATAGCTATTTGCGCAAACGCGCATACAAGGATGCAATGTTTTTTTCCAGGCCACAGAATGGCGGAAACCAGACAACCAATGTTACACGTCGTATCCGGGTATCTGCGCGCGGCCCACTAGCTGCCTCGATATGTACGCCTGACCACCCCCTCCCCGTGCGAGGGTGCGTCACATCGCCTGCGGCTGTACGCTCTAGGGCGCAGCCTCGTCCAACTCGTCCTGAAGGGCGTCAGTTCACTCGGTGAAGCGCACCTGGCGATTTGTAAGGGCGATGGCAAGGCATTCCAGACCATGCCCTGCTACGTCGGACGCCCTGAAATCGCAGCACTCACAGCAGTCAGCTCTCGAGGCGTGGCAATCACCCACTGCCCGTGCTTCAGCTGAATAGGCGGAATCGTGTCAGCCTTCCCGTGGTGTCTAAGCCCCCTCCGTTCGATCAGTTGGCCCCTCGCTTACCTTTGCCGAATAAGCCTGCCCAGCAAAGAGGCGCCTGAGCAACGCCATCAATCGGAGCTGATCGATATATCTCGTGCTTTTCGTGACGGTAACCATGGTATGATGCGTGCAGGCGATGGCTAGCGGTTGTCGCAGAGCTTCGAGTGAGAACTGAAGGCTGAAATCGCAAGTGAAGCACACGGCGGACGCAAGTTTCTTTATGCGCAGAGGCGCATCTTTTATTTCGGGTAGCGACTTCCATCTTGCTGCAGCGAGTCGGGCACCCCTGCTGTTGCGCATCTGCGCAGTTGCGTGTTCATTGCGAAGTGGACGTGGCATTTTTGAGCCTCCTTGTTGTCGTGGACCAATCTCCGGAGCAGATGCCAAGTAGACTGACTGTGTCATTCGTTTGAAAAGGTAAAGCGGCCTGCTACCCTTGTCTTGTGTCTATATTGCCTATTGGACTTGGTGAATATATAGGTAATGCATTCAAAAACAACGCACAAGTCAGACAAGCTTAATGTGCTTTCCATCCTCTGCAGGCTGCGGTAGAATAGACATCTTGCACTCATGCAGCACAATAACCACAGATGCTGTCTTCCCATCCAGCGGGACATATGTCCCCAGACTCGACGGAACGAGCCCGAGCTTGCCCCCCTTCTCACTCCTCTTAAACCGCCTCCGCCTGCCCAGACACAGGCACAACCCAAGCGCCTTGGTCAACGAACTTCCACGTCGTTCCAATCGTCCAACTTGGTTTGAACGACTTGCCGTGGATGATTGGAAATTTCCTCCGGCCTTAGATGTAACGAGGTCCTCTAAACAATTCCATTACGATTAGTGTCTCAGGCTCCCGAGTATACTAGTGCTTACACTGCAGTGCCTTAGGAGCTCGTTTAGAGGGGTTCGATTCAAACCTCAGCCTCGCTGATGCTGTACACGTATCATGCGCTGCAAGGTAAGGAGCGTGCAGGGATTCCCTCAAGGCTGTTGTGCATTCGGCTCATTTGGGACCGGTCAACAGACAAGTGTGTGTCCAGCGTCTCTCTGAACAGGCTGCCATTCATGCCCCGCTGCTTCAGTGCTTAGCCCCGTACTACACCTCCGCCTCGCTCATGAACATGGCAGCAAGGAAGACTTATCTGCTTACTCCAAACTTCGGCTTCACCCGGGATGGTGCGATAGCATTGGGCAACATCATCGCGGATCCTTTCGCACCCCACAGACCCTTGACCACTCTCGATGCCAGCAAGCCTCATCCCGAAATCACATCTAAGCTAGACTACGACTACACAGTCACTCGAAACATCGACCGAGACATCAGCGCGGGAACTTGGACGAAGTTCCTCGGCATTGTGGGAGGCAACGTCGGCGCCCAGAGAGGCAATGGAACCAACACGGAGTACAAGATGGAGTCACTTGAGACCATCATGTTCAGGACTGAGCCAACCGAAGCAATGGTCACCGAAAGACTCCAGCATCCGCTCGTTCGCAACATCATGCATTACAATAGCACATTCCGCCGTCCTATTTACATGATTAGCGGGATCAAGGTCGCGAAAGGCATGAAGTGCACGACCGATAAAGGCTCGACGAAGGGAGGGAATGTCGGCGCAACGGCTCCAGTCACCGAGGGGGTGTTCTTGGGTGCGACTGTGGATATGTCGCAAAGCAGAGACAAATCGGAGTCTTTCCGAGTTGGTGTTGACGTGGTGTTTGCTTACCAGCTATTGAGGATTGGCTTGAAGGGTTGGAAGGCGGAGACAGTTACTCTGGATGAGTTCATTCCTAAAGAAGCTCTCCTGAGCGATAGCTCGGACGAGGGAGAGTAGGTTTTGGAGGCCGATGTGAGCACTACCACTTCGTCTGACTTTTCGAGGGGCCTCGTGAGTTGCCACCAGAAGAGGATACCTTCTTACTCAAAAGATATCCCGACAACTATGTTGATTTGTCCCCTCTCCGCGCTTAAACTGTCAGTTGATATTTCTCCACGGAGACTCTCGGTAGGGGGTTTCAGCATAAAGACTCTTCTCAAGTCTAATGGATATCACGTTTGACATCTGAGTCCTGGGTCGATGAGCTCGTGTCCATATCTCAATTACTTCTAAAGACCACGGACTGCAGTTCTGTCCGTATAGCCGTGCTAGATACAGATTGCAGCCTCGAAACACCTATATTCGATACGGAAAGGCAAGAAAATATCAATACCCAGGCACAACCCAGGCCGCCTTTACCTGCTCACAATGCTTATCAAAGACCGAGAAAGCACAGGAGGTGGAGGGTATGGGCGATTGCGGACATGGCAAACAACCTACAAAAACCACCCTCCTCTCAGCAGTATCGACCCAGTCCTTATGGGAAGTTCTCAGCGTTCCACTGATCAACGATACCCCTCGTCGCCTTGACAATCTCCACACAACCCGGCGAGTCCGAATGACAACAGATCGAAACCTCATGATCCCCAAACGGCAGCTCGATCTTCTCGCCCGTCACCGCCGTCACCGCGCCCTCGTACACCTGCGCCGTGACATGCGCGCGCGTCTCCTCGGGCGCCCACGGGCTATACAGTTCCAAAGTCAGCGTCGACATCCATCACCCAACCACACAGCAACCCCCACACGAAAAAGAAAAAGCATAACATCGCAGGGGAAAGAGAGAGAGAGAGAGAGAGAGAGAAAAGTCACCATCCATCCATCCACACACACACACACCAACGCACTCACCTCTTCACCCGCTCAATCACCAGCCCCCCCTCCCCAGTCCACCTCACATCCGCATACCCCTCCGCCACGAACCCCAACCCCATCTCCCCCGCCACCTCCTCCTGCACCGTCCCCGCCAGCCCAAACACCTTGACCCCCTCCCCCTTCGGCACCGCCTCGTACACCGCCCTGCACACCTCCCGATCGCGACACGTCATCCCATACAGCGCGCCGTGCGGCTTCACGTGGTGCAGCGGCCCGCAACCGGCGGCGTCGAGGAAGCCGGTGAGCGCCCCGATCTGGTAGCGGGTGAGGGCCGTGAGCTCGGCGGGGGTGAGCGACATGGCGCGGCGGCCGAAGCCTTGGAGGTCGGGCAGGCCCGGGTGCGCGCCGATGGCGATGTTGTGGGCGGCGCAGAGGTGGACGGTGGATTGCATTATGAGGGGGTCGCTGTGGGGAGGAGGAGGGAGGGTGGTCAGTGTGTGTGATCGGATGGCGTTGTTTTGCCTTTTCTACTCGCTTTTTTTTTTTTTGGGTTTTTTTTGTTGGCTGGGTTTGGGGGTTGGGATGTTGGTCTGGGATTATGCTGGGTAGTGGGTTTTGGGCAACGGGGTAGTGTTCTCGTGTCTGCTGGATTACTCGTGGGACGTGGGCGGCGCCATGCTCGGGGAGATGGGGTGGTGAGGGGTAAGAGGGTGTTGTGTCTTACAGGTTTGATTAGGGTAGTAGGAAAGATGGAAAATCGGAATAGAAGAAAAAGGGCGCGAGGTGCTTCGGATGGGGTTACGGAACCGCTTTACTCACCCAGCGTGGAAGCCGCATGCCACATTGGCGTGGTCGATGAACGGGAGGAGCTCCTCATCCGGGCCACACTTGTAGTTTCCGTAGCCCTCGCCCAGATCGACATTGATCTTGATCCTGTGCTTCGAAGGCGCCATGGTGTCTTTCTGCGGGGTAGGGAGGAATATACTTGCCGAAGTCGAGGGGAACTAAATGCTCTACTCGAAAATATACGGGAGCGATGCTGGAGACACTATGAGGCAAACAAAAATTAGGTCAGCGCCGAGAAGCGGTCGAACGGATGCTTCGAAATGATATCTAAAGGTGGGAGAGGCGCAGCGAGTCTTGCAGCCTGGCGATAGATAGGGAGATGCTCGGCTTTGCTGCATGTGGCAGTGGTGTGGAGCTACCCCGCGTTGATACAGCGGAGCTTTATCAGTGGTCAACGAGGGAGTTTCCCCTCCATCGCAGTCCCCTGCTTCTCATTCGCCATGATCCAAGTCCACGGAACGACATTGTACCATCGCCTTGGTGTGGCCGCCCATAGCGCCCAGCAGGTTCCGATAAAGCCGTGCTCCACGTGTGCGACACTGCCAAGTTGATCAGCAACACATCGAGACACAGCGTTCCTGAATCCGGAGACTCGGTTATCATTACTGGAGCTTCGCCGGATCTGCGGATCCGCCATTGGGAGCCGAAGAGTGGTGGTGGTGGTGCATCATTATAGCACACCATCTAGCAACCTCTATATATGCTTGCCGCACAAACCCACCCACCACCCACCACCACAAGCGAGCACCGCATCTACTGCCATGCAGCAGCAACAACCACAATGGAATCCATCAAAACCCTACTAATCGCCAACCGCGGCGAGATCGCCGTACGTCCCCCCCAAAACCCCCCACCCCCCTCACCACCCTCACCACCCACACCCGCTCACCACCCCCAAATAGGTCCGCATCATCTCCACCGCCCACGCCCTCAACCTCACCACCATCGCCCTCCACACCCCTCAAGACGCGCACTCGCCGCACGTCCGCCTCGCCACCATCGTCGCCGCCGCCCCCATCCCCTCCTACACCGACATCCCCTCCATCCTCCGCGCCGCCGCCCTGCACGACGCCGACGCCATCATCCCCGGCTACGGCTTCCTCGCCGAATCCCCCGCCTTCGCCGCCGCCGTCGTCGATGCGGGTTTCGCGTACGTCGGACCGCCCGCGGGCGTCGTCGCGGCGTTTGGCGTCAAGCATGTCGCGCGGAGGCGGGCGGGGGAGGCGGGGGTGCCGGTCGTGCCGGGGTCGGAGGGGTGCGTGGGGGGTGTGGAGGAGGCGGTGGAGGTGGCGAGGAGGGTGGGTTTGGGGGAGGGGGCGCCGGTGATGTTGAAGGCGACGGGCGGGGGTGGGGGGATGGGCATGGCGGTGTGTAGGAGTGAGGGGGAGGTGCGGGAGAGGTTTGGGGCGGTGGTGGGGAGGGCGGAGGCGCTGTTTGGGGATGGGCGGGTGTTTGTGGAGAGGGTGGTGGAGCGGGCGCGGCACGTCGAGGTGCAGGTGTTTGGGAACGGGCGGGGCGAGGCGGTGGCGTTTGGGGAGCGCGAGTGCTCGGTGCAGCGGAGGCGGCAGAAGGTGGTGGAGGAGTGTCCAAGTCCGTTTGTCGAGGGGCGGCCGGGGCTGAGGGAGGCGCTGGTGGAGAAGGCGGTCGCGCTGGCCGAGGGCGTGGCGTATGCTGGGGCGGGGACGGTCGAGTTCCTGGTCGATGACCGGACGGGCGAGTTTTGGTTCCTGGAGATGAACACGAGGTTGCAGGTGGAGCACGGCGTGACGGAGCTGTGCTATGGTGTGGATTTGGTCGAGTTGATGCTGAGGCAGGCGGATGCGGAGCGCGCGGGGAAGGGCGGGTTGGATGGCGCGTATCTGAAGTCGCTGCAGCCAAAGGGCGGTCCGAATGGAGCGGCGGTCGAGGTCAGGGTGTATGCGGAGAACCCGGTCAGAGACTTTGCTCCTGCTCCGGGCCTGCTGCAGCATGTCGAGTGGAACGAGATTCCGGGCACGCGCATCGATACCTGGGTCTTCACCGGCTCGACGATAACTCCAGACTATGGTAAGACGAACTCCACTTCTCAAATTCAGGGGCAAGAAATATGGTCTACATGTGGAAGAGAGGACCTACTAGTTCCCTCGACTGGAGATGCGAAAGAGATTCCGGTCTCGAGCCCAAACCTACCTACCACTCTCCACTGACTCCACCTCGCCACACCAGACCCCCTCATCGCCAAAGTGATGCACCACGCCCCCACCCGCGCGGCCGCCATCTCCGGCCTCCAAACCGTCCTCTCGTCGTCCAAGATCCGCGGCCCCCCCACCAACCTCGCCTTCCTCTCCGCCATCCTGTCCAGCCCCTCCTTCCAGTCCCGCCGCACCCTCACCACCTTCCTCGACGCCTTCCCCTTCCAGCCCGCCGCCATCGACGTCCTCGCCGGCGGCGCCCACACGCTCGTCCAGGACCTCCCCGGCCGGCCCGCCGTCGGCAAGGGCATCCCGCACTCGGGCCCCATGGACCCGCTGACCTTCCAGCTCGCCAACCTGCTCGCGGGCAACGCCACGTCGTCGTCGTCATCGTCGCGCAGCAGCAGCAGCAGCGGCAGCGGCAGCAGCAACACCGAGGCGCTCGAAATCACGCTCGCCGGGCCCGACCTGCGCTTCCTCGGGCCGGCCGTCGTCGCGCTGTGCGGGCCGCCCATGGACGACGTCTCCCTGGACGGCAGGCCCTTCCCCACGTGGACGCGGGTGCGCGTGCGCGCGGGCCAGCGGCTGAGGATCGGGAAAATCGAGGCGGCCGGGGGCGGGTGTCGCGCGTACCTGGCCATCCGCGGCGGCTTGCCCGGCGTGGCGAGCTACTTTGGCAGCAAGAGCACGTCGCCCGCCGTCGGGCTCGGCGGGTATCAGGGGCGGGCGCTGGCGGCGGGGGACCTGCTGGAGATCGCGGAGGAGACGCCGCGGGAGGAGGAGGGGGAAGAAGAAGGAGGACGGGAAGGAGGGGTTGTTATCAGCATCCCCGAGCGCCTGCGCCCGGCGTACACGCGCGACTGGAAGATCAAAGCCATGGTCGGCCCGCACGAGGAGGGGTACCTCGACCCGGCGGATGTCGACATGATCTACGACACGACGTGGAAGGTCAGCCACAACGCCAGCCGCAGCGGCATCCGCCTGGTCGGCCCGGTGCCGCGGTGGGCCCGCGAAGACGGCGGCGAGGGCGGCGCCCATCCGAGCAACCTCGTCGAGTACGGGTACCCGATCGGGGCCCTCAACTGGACGGGCGACGACCCGTGCATCTTCCCCGTCGACTGCCCCAACTTCGGCGGCTTCGTCAGCTCGACGACCATCGTGCGGGCCGAGTGGTGGAAGATGGGCCAGCTCAAGGCCGGCGATGCCGTGCAGTACGAGCGCGTGTCGCTGGAGGACGCGTTGGACGCGAGGGCGAGGCTGGACGGGTTCTTGAGCGCCGTCGAGACGGCGCTGAGGGGGGCGATGGCTTGGGAGCTGGTCGAGCCGCTGGACACGCAGTCGAAGGCGCCGTCGACGCTGAAGCGCGAGTGGGGGAAGGCGGTCCTCTGGCATAGGCCGGAACAGGGGGACCAGCCGGCAGTGACTTACAGACAGGTATGTGCTTCTTCTGAACTCCATCTCTCCAGAACCTGCCCAGCAACGATGAGACCATAGTGTGTGTGCATTCCTACAGTTTCAACACTCACAACTACACCCAAATACTCACCTCATCTTCTCCCAACCCTACTCTCACGTCAGCATACTCGGCTCAAAAACCACAAGACTAACCACCAATCCCACCACCCCTCCAGGGCGGCGACGACCACATCCTCATCCAATACGGCCACGAGACCTTCGACCTCAACCACCGCTGCCGCGTCACCGCCCTCGAATCCGCCCTCCACAGCGCCTCCACCCCAACCTGGCTATCCGCCCACCTCACCACCACCGTCGGCTGCTGCACCTCCCTCCTCCTCACCTACAACGGCGCCGCCGTCCCGCGCACCCAGCTCCTCACACACCTCCAATCCCTCGAAGCGACGCTCGGCTCCCTCCGCACCGCGCGCCTGCCCACCCGGCTCTTCCGGCTCCCGCTCAGCTTCACCAGCGCCGCCCAACGCGCCGCGACGGCGCGCTACGCCGAGACGCAGCGACCTTACGCGCCGTACCTGCCGTCGAACCTCGGCTTCGTCGCGCGCAACAACGGGCTGGGCGTCGACGAGCTCAAGCGCGGCCTGCTCGCGACGACGTACGTCGCCGTCGTCGTCGGCTTCTTCTGCGGCAACACCGTGTGCCTGCCCGCGGACCCGCGCGCGCGGCTCAACGCGCCCAAGCAGAATCCGTCGCGGGTCTACACGCCCGCGGGGACCGTGTCGTGGGGCGGCAGCTGCATGTCGCTGTATCCGGTCGACTCGCCGGGGGGTTACCAGATGTGCGGGGCGACGGTGCCGTGCTGGGACGCGTTGGGGTGGAGGGAGGGGTTCGAGCGCGGGAGGCCGTGGCTGTATCGCGACTTTGACTTGCTGACGTATTATGAGGTGGGGGAGGAGGAGATGGAGGGGGTGTTGAGGAGGTGGGCGGCGGGGTGTTATGAGTGGGAGGTGGAGGAGGTGGTGTTTGATATGGCGGAGCATAACGGGTTGCTGGAGGAGACGAGGGGGGAGGTGGAGGCGATGAGGGAGAGGCAGCGGGTGGCGCAGGAGGAGATGGTGAGGGCGGAGCGGGAGAGCTTGGCGAGGTGGAGGGAGGAGAGGAAGAGGGAGCAGGTGGATGAGGGGACGGTGGAGGGCTTGTTGGACGGTAGGTGCCGGCCGCCGCCGCTGCTGCTGCTACACAGTACTCTCGTTTGCACTACTCCCCCTCGAATTTGGGTGCGCACTGAAAGTTGCTGGGGGGTATCCTTGCTGACAATCTGGGGTTGTTTGACAGATCCTGCCATCACTGCTATTGAAGCGCCGGTGGATGCCAACGTCTGGAAGGTCGAGGTCGCAGACGGCGACGTGCTCGAGGAAAACCACTTGGTAAGGCATTCCTCGCCCCAGTCATTGGCACGCAGGGAGATCCGAGCGCATCAAACTTTTTCTACGTACAAACAAAATTGGGCTTACACTCGGATGTTGCCAGATCTCTATCCTCGAAGCGATGAAGCTGGAAATCTCCGTTCGGTTGCCGGACGACATGGTAACGGCGGGTAGCGCACCGGTGAGGGTGGAGAAGATGCTGGTACGGCCGGGAGACACGGTCAAAGCGGGCGGAAAGATAGCTCTCGTGAGGAGGGGCTAAACGGACGACAACGGTTTCAGTAGCGCCGCGGGTTGGCCGGGATGGAGACTCGGGCAAGTCGACGTCAATGCGGGTGGCTGGAGATGCTTGTGCGCCGCGACTGCCTTGTGCCAGCTGGCTTGTCTGGGGGCATTTTACATGCCCCTTTGTTGTTGCGTGCGGCGTCACGGCGACGGTCCGCGTGGTGTTGGGCTGGGCCCGGACGGCGTGCAAAATCTTGGCTCTCGTATCTGATGTTCACAAGCTTGCTATAGCATCCACACCTCGGCAACACTGGGTGAGGCGGCGTCTCATGGGGTTGAGTCGGGCAGCAGACGCTTGGGTGATCGGTTGCAAGCATGGGGCTCGCAGGGCTGGGGAGCTGGTGACGTCCGGTCAGTCAGGAGCAACAGAGTTGGCTGAGCATTGAGCATGCCGTGACAACAGCAGCCCAGCCGCCTGATAAGCCCTACGCAAATTGAAGTGCGCATTGCTCTTCGCGCTGTGCACGCAGAACCCCTCTCTGCATCCCCTTGCCACCACCGAGCGACGGTCCCAAAGCCTTGGCCGTGGGACGGGGAGGGGCGATGGGGGCAACTGGCCTGCGCGCTCCGGCCGCGAGAGCACACATGCGCTACTGTGACGTTTTTCGAGCCTGCGTGTGTGCTGAAACCAGTGCATTTGCCTCCTCTCACCGCCTGGAGAGCCGCTGCATCGCACCGCGTGGCTGCGCGCCGATCGGGGAGCGGCAATGGTCTGTGACGGTGGAACTAGGGGGGGGAGAGTCAGTCATGCCTCGGCGTCACCATGTATTGCCTGCCAAACGGCGTGAGACATTGATACGTGGTGCGGCAGACGTCAGCGTTGGCCGGGCGGCACACGGACGGCGCTGGACGTGCTGGACGTGCTGGACGTGCTGGACGGGGATCTGGCGTTTTGGAGTCGGAGCGGTGAAAGCCTTCTTCCCATGTCGTCGTTCATGGTTGCTTTTTTCCTGCTTTTTGTCGGCCCGTCGCCGTCGGTTCTTCATGGCGCCTGATGAAGATACGACGCACGCGTCGGGCGGCAGATAGAGTGCGGCGCGAGCGCTTCCAGAATGGGCCGCTCCCGAGCTGCAGACGTCAAGGAGATGATGTGACGGCCGCCCCCGGGCAACGGAGAAAATGAAGCAGCGCAGACGGCGACGGCGGGGGCTGCCTCTGGCCGGACGGGCGCGCACTCCTCATCTCGAATGAGTCGCAGCTCGCGGCTCCGCAGTCGCCACGGATTTGCAGGCTGGACATTGCAAGGGGAGCACGACGTGTGGGCTGTGGGGAAGGGTGGATGGACAGGATGCGTTTTACGTGGTTCACATCACTCGTACCGTTGGTGTTGCTGCTGGGCCAAGAAGTGCTCTCGGCTCAATAAAGCACGCGCCCCAGGGCCGCGCTGAAACGTTGACAGCAGTTGACGGGCGTGTGGAAACGCCGTCGTGGGGGTCGCTGGCCAGCAGCTGCTCTCAGCGTTCAATAAAAAGCACGAGCACGACTGGCTACCGGCTTGAGACGACTGGAACACCTCTTGTTTCCCGAACAGGAGCGGCGCGACGATCAGCTCCGCCCAATGCGGTATCCCTGGCGCCGGCTGGAGTCACAGCCCGACGAGGCACGCGTCTGCGGCAGCGCGACGATGCCGCTCAGCGCAAACAACGGCGTCCCTGGTGCGACGGCGACCTGCCATGTGACGGTCAGGCAGACGAGCTCAATCAAAGCTCCCCGCTTTGGCGGGCGGCGAGCGGCGAGCGGCGGTCGACCTTTGGCGGGCAGACGATCGCACTTGCCGATCGGCACCTCCTTTGCGTGACGGGCTCCCGGCACTCGGGTCCTCGTCGTGAGGCGCTGGCCGTTGAGCGCCTCTCAATAATCTCCGCCCTCTCCCCACCGCGACTGTATCTGGCAAGTCCTGCCACGCGTAACCAGAGCGGCCGGCGTGCGTGGAGCGGTGGCACACAAGGGCAAACCGCGCGGCCGGTTACGCTGCTCTTCTGCTCCAGCATCCTGAACATCCTGAAACGAGATGTGCGAATTGCGACATCTCGGCAGCCGTTTTCTCGCCGTCAGTGCGCCGTGCGCCGTATTGGCGGCCGTCGCGGCAGCGAGCCGGTGGAGCGTAGGTCCATTATTTCGCCCGGCTGCCGGCCTCTCCCCAGAATCCACGCCGAATAATCCACGCCCCGTCCGGCTGCGGCTCTCTAGGTGGCCTGCCTGCGCTGCGCTGCGTCGGCGTAGTGCCCGCGACCGGCCGTGGCGTGCCGCGTGAAACACGCTGTTGACGGCCGCTGTTCACCGCGTCGCTCGCGAGCTGCGACCGCGGGCAGCAGTCCATTATTGAGCAGATCCTTCATGTGAAGGCGGAGCAGCAGGTGAAACGCCGCTTGATCCATTGACATCCAACCGAGTAGTGTCCCGCGCGCAGATGCGATGCGGCTGACCGCGACAATCTGCGCAGCCCCCCGCCCCGCCCGCGTTCCAGTGCCGGCTGGCGCTTTTGGGCAGCTCCTCCGGCAGATGCTTTCGAGACCCTTATCGCGTGCGGCTGAGAAGCTCACCAGACCTCGTGGCCGGCCGGCCAGCAGCCAGCAGCTGCTGCCTGGCTGCCTGCGACGAGCCTGGCCGCGACGACGAGGGGCTTGGGTGCGGCTGCAGCTAAAGATAGACGCTTGGCCCGCCCGCTTGAGCCTCTGAGGGAACCGCTTTCAGGAGGGTCGACGGCTGGCCCGGGATGCCCAGCTGTGCAGCGCTGCATTGCGTCCTGGAGACTGCGATGATGCGCGGTAAATTGACGATCATGCCCTGCCGTCGCGCCAAAAATGGCATATCGCGTCAATACGAAATTGAGCCTGGAGCCTGCAATCCGGCAGCGCCGCCCGTCGGCCAGGAGGGAGAGAGCGGCAGCGCGCCCGAACAACCCCGCCCTGCGAGCCGCGGAGATCGCAGGCGTGCGTGCCCACCGCGAAATAACCTGGGCGGAGCGGGCGTCGCGGTGGTGTTTGATGGCCTGGCCGACGAGGGCGAGAGGAGGGGCAGGCAGAAGCCGCGCCGGCGATCCCCAATCCAGTTCGGGCAATGCGGCGCCGGGGTGCTGTCTCTTCGTGCTGATTGGGCCTGCACTAGGGCTCCAATAATCTTCCAGTCGCCGCCGCGGGCGAGCCGCTGCACAGCATCACCCACGCACCCACGCACCCACGCTCTCGCCGCTCGCCGCCCGCCGCCCGCACCCTTTCGTTCTCCAGCGCTGTCTTAGCTCCGCCCGCGCCGCACGCGGTGCTCGTACGCAGTGGGCCCGCCGGCGCCTCGAGGCGCGCTTCTCAGGCCGGCCGTCCAGCGCCTGTGCTGGCCGCCGCTCGCTTCCCTCAGCTTGAAACACCGAGCCCGGGCCCTGGTCTATTGGCATCAAATAGAGTGGTCGCACAGCTGGAGTCCGTGGGCCCATGGCGACTCTGTCTGAAATCCAGTTTCACTAAACCGCATGCGAGCATAGCACGCCCCCATCCCCCGGCGCAACCCTGTCGGCCTGCCCTTCGCTCTCGTGTCCGTGCCAATCCATATTATCGTCGCCAGCGCCCTCCCGCTCAAGCCTGCTGCTTCTTCACCACCCTGTCCTGTCCTCACCACCGCGCACGCAGCCCTCTCCCCACCCCATACCACCTCTCCGCGCGCCCGCACCGTTCGTGAGTGGCATACGCCTGCCGCCCGTCGCCCATTGTCGCAGCCCCACCGCTGCCCTCTCCGCCGCCGCCGCCTCGGATTCGCTCTCGCTGACGGAGCCGAGCAACCACCACCATGACTACCGCCGTCGCTGCTCCGCCGGTCACTGCGCCTCACGCGCCCTCGCCCTCCGACCAGGGCGCTACCAGCTCCAGATATGCTCCAATTGCGCCGTCTAGCGGGAACACACCCAGCGGAAAGTCCGCCCGGTCCTCGAGCAACCACGGCTCGCCTGTCTCGACTCACAGCGACGGATCTCACCGAGAGGGGAAGCGCTCCCCCAACTCGTACGTCTCCTGCCTTCTCGACCGTCGCGCGACCGTTGCTAACCTCGCTCACAGCTCCAGGAACTCGCACGCGCCCAAGATTGTCGTCAAGAAGGAACCCGACTCGCCTGAGATGCCTCAGGTCTCGCGCCATCGCCCCCGCCGCCTCGATCTCTCCCACAACGTGCACTCCTCTGGCGCCATGACCGCGCGCCCTGCCGGCCCCATGACCGCCAAGGAAGGCAGCTTGGCCGCCATGCACGACGTCGGACTTGCCTGCCTGTCTCCCGGATTTCAGACTCAAGACCCTGCCATGAGGGAACAGCTTCAGAGGAGCATGGATGTTCGGGACAGACAAAGACAGATTATCGAGGCGAGACAGAAGGGAAAGACTGTTCAGATCTCGCACGATGGCGACAGCTCCAGGCTCGCGGAGGTGAACCCGTTCAAGAGTGGTGGCAGAACCCCCGCGTCATCGCGGAGAAAGGGTCCTCCCCCGGGTCTTTCCATTGCGACTCCGTCGGCAAACCAATTCGCCAACGAGCGCGTCATCCAGTCGGCGCCTCTCAATCAATCATTTACCGGCATGAGGGGGTCGGGGTTCTCGTCCCTCTCCAGACAGGTCGCCAACCAGCCTTCCAACCTCTCACAGACTTCTCACATCCACCACATGCCTGCGCAGCAGACCAGCAACCGGCTTCCCCCGATCTCGGACGTGTTCGCCGGTGAGAACATTTCTGCGCCGAGGGAATCGAGCCGTTACAACGGCAGCCCCAGCCACTCGTCGCACTCCAACCAGCCTCTTCCCTCTCCCGGATTCCCCCCTAGCTCTCACAACCAGTCCGCTCAAGCTCCCCGCCGACGGGAATACAAGTCGGCCGAGGAGGCCGTTCAGTCCATGTCGGGTGGCCGCGAGGATCTCCTTCCTCGCATTGTCCACTACGGCGGCCACCAGCCCCCGACTCCTCCCTCGCCTATGCCCTCTAAGAACCAGACCAGTCAGGCGGATGTGCTCCGGCAAGGCACCTCGCGTCGCCGGACGCGTGAGGAGTACGAAAAAGATATGGGAACCCCGCCTCTTGGCCGCCAGGAGAGGCGGCCCGGCCCTTTTGGTGAAGGCCGCGATAGCCCCGAGACGCAGAGGAGAAAGAAGGATGAGTTCATCGCGCTCTGCGCACGGGCGTGGGATCTGTTCCACTCCTGATTGCTTGCGCGATAGCTTGGGCATTGCCCTTCAGATTCCCACACTTTGACGCGTTGTTTCTTGACCAGGCGTTACGGAACCCTAGTGGTCCTGGTTGTCTTTTCCTTTCCCTTCCCGGGCTGGTCTACTGCTTTATATCTCGTCCCTTTTCAGAGTTGTTCTTCAAGCGTACCGGCTTCTCTCTTTCTTTTCAAAAGCCCGGCAACGTCGCACCTACACCGTTCGTTAATCACTCATTTGGCAACAAGCTCACTGGTTGGAGGGGGGATCCGTCTCCCGCCCGGTTGGGATTTTGTCCTTGTTGTCTTTCGAAAGCAAGCAAAAGTTGACATGCAGTACGAAGCTTCGGACTCAGCATGACGACCTTTTTCTCGCACTTTGAACGCTACCCACGAAGTTGAATGCCTGGTATGATGCATGCATCATGCACGGGCCTGTTCTTACGTTGGGGGAGTTCTACTGTTTCCGCTTCACAACCTTGGCACGCTGGGTCGTCACTTTGGGGGCAAGTTGGGACCAGCACAAATGATGTGCGGCCCGTCCATCCATGTCTGGAGAGGAGATTTCATTGCTCTGTCACAGTCTCTTTGGCGTTTTGTCCATGGTCTCTCCATCTCTTCTCTCCCAGCTTCTCAATTGTTTTTATCCAAGAAGCTGGGCGTCCTCAAAAGGGCGGTAGGGCAGCACACGTGTTGGACTTGTTTTGGATGCGGGTTTTGTTCATAGTCGGGTGCAAGCCTTGTTGGAAGATTTCTTGGCTGGCCCTACACGGCCTTTTCCTCGCGTTGGCAAAAAGAAGAATACGGATTATACCAAAGGATATTGGGTGGGGGAGGTAGTTAGTCTCAGTCGAATGGAACGTCGACGTTGGAAGCCACATGACATGACCTGCGATGCAAATGCAATGCGGACTGGCTGCTGTGACAGTGATGCTACAGCTTGTGTTCAGCTGCTGCCCCCGGCGCGGCAGCAATCAGCCAGCGCGCGATTTTGGGTTGGAAACATCCCTTAGCAGCTAGGGAATGGAGGGACAGGCGCAGTGGGGAACATTCAGCCACAAATTGTCTGGTTGAATCCCACCGGTGACTCCCTACTCCTATCCATCCTCGTCTTCTTCATCACTTGTTCAAACCAGGAAGCAAAAGGGGACGAAGAGAGGGCTTGGACGAGGGATCCCAGGACCCTGGCCTGCAACACGAAGGGATGTGCCCTTGTTCATTTGATTATTGGCAAGGCATGCAACGAACGTTTTGGGCCGACGCACGATGGATTTGGAATCTACTCATTTCTCGCACCGGCGCGTAGCAGGGGGCGGTGGTGGTGGTCCAATGAGAAAAAGCGCCTTGTGCGAGGGGGAAAAAATTATTTTCTGTCTTTTCTTTTCTTTTTCGCCTTCTCGCGCAGACATGGTTTGCGCCAGTACGATAGCGCACGGCATGCCACGTTGCTTAAGGGTCGATCCGCTCAGGCGCCCACTAGGTTTAGCTAGTAGCGGCGGTGATGAGCGACACGGATGGATGGACGGGTATGCTTGGCCTGGCCTGATCGCCCGAATTGAGATCTGCCATCGCGCGTCTCAGCGTAAAACAACAGGCGTCCGGGTCTCCCGCGCCCTCGACGGAGGGGGCGCAATGACGAGAGGAAGAGAAGAGCTGATCCGCGCTGACATCATTGGGCGAGGGGAAAACCTAAGAGGTGTGGGCTCTCTGTGAGCTGCCGTCCATCATGCTTGAGCGTCAGGGTCTTCCTTGGTGGGGCTCTTCCCGTCCGTCTCCGGGCATCATCAAAGCTGTGCCGGCGAATCGTTTCGCCGTTGTTTGTAGCGCGGGTCCCACGTGACCTTAGCAGTAGCTCACCGCCCTGGCGTAGAATGTTTGCGTATGACGCTGCTGCCTCACAGGCAGTAAAATGCTGCCGTTTCGAAAAAGCGTCCGCAGCCTTCCTCCGTTACTTCACCTGAGGCGCTCATTTGCAGTCGTTCCCCGTTGCTCTTCTCCCGCTCTCAGCCTCTTCACCGCCGCCGCCGCCGTCCATGGAAACTTCGACTCTGATTCCTCTTACACGGTACTGCTGCACCACTTCCTCCTCCGCCAGCCTTGCTGTTCCGCACCTCGCGCCCCACCACAACAATTGCACCGCAACTGACCAAGATATTTACGCGCAGATGGCGAGGAAGAAGAATGCGAAGAAGCTGAACAGACAGCAACCGCAACAGACGGCGGCGCCCGTAACGCCTGCCGTCCCCGATGGTCAACTACCACCCCATCCGCTCCTCCAATCCATCGCACCTCCCATGACGCAATTGCCTTTCCCTCCCACTGCAAACAACGCCGCCGCCGCCACGCAGCCAAACGGCGCCCAAGAGCCTCAACAGGACGGCCAGAGCAAGAAGAGCAAGAAGAAGCAGAGGGCCAGGGAACGCCGGGGCGCGAAGAAGCAGCAGTTGCAGCAACAAAAGCAGCAGCAAGCGGCGTCAGTGGGACAAGGACAACGGCTTGGATCAGGAACCAATGGCGGTGGCTATGCGTCGCCGATTAACGACGTCACCACCACCGCCGCCGCCACTGAGCTGCGCGATGGTGAGGAGGACAACGTCCTGCCGAACCAGCATGGCGGCAGTGGCGACGATCACTTTGTGGGGCAACCGCTGCTGGACGTACTCGATGGGGTTCACTTGCAGCAAAGCGGAAGTGAGGCCGAAGCTGCACGTGTGGGACAACCGGGCGATGCCGGTGGTGGTAGGAGGGCGTCGCTGGCACGGCGGCCTGCGGCGCAGCAAGACGTCAGCGGTCCCCCGCCTGGCGCGCCGACCCAGCCTAGAGCGGCGAGGATGAATGCCGCCGCTGCTCCTCCGCCGGGAGCGCCTACCGGGCCTAAGTCTATGGCCTCGTTTTCGGCGTGGTCCCAACGTCCGGCGGCGGCGGGGAGTAGTCATGCCCAGCCGCAGTATGGGCAGCAGCCGGCCGCCGCGGATACTGTCCAGGCTTCGACGTTCGGGGCTAATTGTCAAGTGCCTGGTGCTGGCTCTGGGAGCGGCAATCCGTTCGGCTATCACCTGCAGAATGCTACGTGGGACTGGAACACGTTCGGCGGTGCTTCCGACGCGGCAGCTGCGAGCTACTTGGTGGAGCAGAGCAACGAAGCTGGTGGTGATTTTGACGGTAACAAATCACACCCTCATGCTTCTAATGATCGCATAGCACCAGGTACAGAGTCTGAGGCGGCGTGGCCCAGTGCGTACGGTGACGCCACGAGCGGCTTTCTGCAGCAACAGCAGCAACAACAGCAAAACTACTACGACCCCTACCAGTCGTTTGGCCAATACACTGGCTGGAACCCGTACCTGCAACAACATCAGCAGCAGCAACAAAGCATTGGCTTGCAGCCGGGCTACTACAACCCAACTTTCCAAAGCTCGAGCGGCCTGCGCTACATCCACGGCCACACCAACAGCTTCACTCCGTTTGCGCCCATGGCGTCAGTACAACACTACTATCAAGGTCATAGGTGGCATGTTGACAAGCGTTACAGTGCCCCGACGCGCGGTTTCGCCTCCAAGGCTGGGAAGAACGGCGGCGGCGGTCGGGCAAGCCCAGGGGGTGCGAGTGACAACAGCGATGGAGGGGTGAAGGTAGGTAGCAGCGAGCCAGTGCGCCGCTCCAAGAGGCTCGCTGCAAAGGGTGGTGACGGCGCGATCCAAGCCCAGAGAGAGTCAGGGCTTACGTTCGAAGGCGCCATGGACAACAAGCAGCAAATGAAATCACCATCGCCTGGTCACAAGTCACGCGCGCCCAATCCACCGCGGTGGAAGAAGCCGCTGGGCCCACCCCAGCCGCACCCCACGTCGGAGTACCTCGCCCGAGCCTCCCAAGAGCCGGAGCGCCTCACGAAAGAGCCGCACAAGCTCCTCATAGTCATCGACCTCAACGGCACCCTCGTCCACCGCCCCCGCAGAAACAAAAAAAACTCCCAAATCATCAGCCGCCCTTACGTCTCAGCCTTCCTCGACTACCTCATCGCCAACCACCGCGTCATGGTCTGGTCGTCGGCCAAACCCGTAAGCGTCGAGAAGATGGTCGCCTCGCTCATGCCCTCGGCAAACCGCCGTGACGCGCTCCTCGCCGAGTGGGGCCGCGACAGGCTGGGCCTCTCGCCCAAGGCGTACGACGAAAAGGTCCAGGTGTACAAGGAGCTGGACAAGGTGTGGAAGCAAGCCGACGAGGGGCGGTGGCACCCGCTCCACGCCGCGCACCAAAAAGGCGAGGAGCCGGAGCCGGAGCCGGAGCAGGCGACCGAGGCGAACCGCTTCGGCCAGCACAACACGTTCCTCATCGACGACAGCCTGCTCAAGGCGTCGTCGGAGCCGCACAACCTCATCCAGGTCGAGGAGTTCGAGGCCAGGCCCCACCAGATGCAGACGGACGTCCTGCGCCAGGTCGTGGGCTACCTGGAGGAGGCCAAGTGGTGGAGCAACGTCAGCGCGTGGGTGAACCGGGGCAATCGCTTCGAGGTGGGCAAGGGCTGGGATCACGGCTGGCCCGAGGGCACGACGAGCGGTCTCGTCCCGCCGCCGGAGGCCGTGGAGCTCGAGCGCCAGCGTGAGCTCGAGCTCCAACGTGACCTCGAGCGCCAACGTGATCTCAGGGCTAGCCTGCTGATGCCGGGATGTGGTTTAGTCGTTTTGCCACGTTCACCATAGCAGTCTCCCGTAGAAAAAGACCCTTGAGGGGCAATCCATCGAGTTCATGAGCTCAAACAACAGCCAACGCCGGATCAGGTGGCGTGGACTATCCGTCACGGAAAGCGGCTGGAGGAACAGAGACGGGAGGAACAGAGAGTGAAAGACATAGGGGCAAGGAGGGAACAGAGAGCGAGAGAGAAGGCAATGGAGGATGGAGGGAAGGAAGAGGCAATGGAGAATGGAGGGAAGAAAGAGGCAATGAGCGATGAAGAGAAGAAAAGGCAATGAAGGATGTGTGGAGGAAAAAGACAATGAAGTATGGGGGGCAGAAGAAAAAGGAAGATGTAATATCAGCACGCGTGGAAAGCTCCATATTAGAGTAGACCATTGGGGGAAAAACACTCCTCACGGCGTTTGTCATGCCTGCCTTTTTCCTTTATTCTTCCCTTCTTGCTTTTCTTGTTCTATTCATCCTTTTTTTTTTCGGGTTCTTTTCCTTTCCCTCCCCGGCTTCTTCTCTGGTTTTGATTGGCTGGTCAGAACGGAACGTCTAATAGCAGACTTGGCGGCTCCCTCCCTCCCTCTCCCTTTCTTTCTCTCCTTCGCAAGCTGTGGCTTAGCAGCTGGTTACGATGTTTTATTATATGCGTTGCAATCGGTTGCATAGTGGTTGGTAAAATGGGGGATACGTATGTATCCGGGGATATAGTTGGCAATGGCAATGGCAATGGCAGTCCTGAAGAGGGAAGAGAGATAGAGAGAAAACGTATTATAGATGGTACTCTGGGATGCCTTTCATCTCTAGCGTAGAGGAGTCATGATGGAATTCGTGGACCGTTACCTCATCGTACCTGCTATTGCTAATGGTATGGATGTGCTTTGTGCTTGTTGTTGTTATGACGGTGGTGGTTCTTTCTCCTAGCCCCTCTTTGTCTGTGCAGCAGCGCGCTTTCTAACAGTTTAGCGTGCCATCCATTCATGCATTCACGAAAGCAAACAGACGCGATTCAACCCCGCCAAGACCAACAGCGACGACGACGACGATAACGACAACGACAAGTCATCCAGCCTTCCACCAACCAAAAACGAGGCAACGAACCAGGCAGCCAAAAGTCGGCCAAGTCATCTAAGACCAGGCAACCCAGCAACCCCAAGCACTTCCGCAGCACCACGTCAACGCAACCCCACATATCCTGTAGTAGCACGTAGCAGACATGCCGCGCTCCCGCGCGCGCGCGCGCTAACATCCCCCAAACCAGCGCAATCACACGACCCTGCCGCAAACAGACAAAGGAACCGTATCTCCGTATCGAAACAAAAATAACATTCGCAATCCTTCCCCTCCCCCTCACCCCCCAGTAACCCCTTAAACTTACCCCGCCAACAGTGTGTGTGACCGTACGAACTACGAACTACTACACACACACACCTCTAAAAGAAAGGGAAAAAGGGAAAAAGAAAACACACATCATACTGCATCGCATCGCACATCCTACAAAACGAAGAAAAAATCAGTATCATTGATAGCAACAAAGATATCCTTCCATCCATACATCCATCCATCCATACACACACATAAAGAGCAACCAAGCAACCAAGCAAGGAAGGATGGAACCACCAGCCAGCGAGACCGCGCTACGACAACCCCGCAATGATGATTTTCTTTTAGTACTTATCGGACTGCGCCTTTTGGTTGGTTGGTTGGCTTTTTTTTGTTTTTAGCCATACGTCCGAAGTCCACCGCGCGCGGCCGGAACGCGGGACGCGGGACGACCTCGGTAATGGAGTATAAGTAGGTATGTACCTACCTAGGTAGAACCCTCCAGAGGGGCCGGCGGAACGATTCCTTCCGATTGACCCTTCGTCCCCCCTCCCCCTCCCCGGCGGAGACCGAGGTACATGGGTATCATCGTGTGTACGGACTAGGTAGTGTTTCGTCCGAAGGAGAACAAAAAAAAAACGGGTGCAGAAAAAACGATGATGACGAGAAAAGAAGAAAAGAAACGAGGGGGGAGAAAAAAAAAGGTATTTTCTACATAGGTAGGTAGGTAGGTAGCTGTCTCTCTCCCTCTCTCTTTCTCCCTCTCTCTCTCGTGCGCGCGCACCACTACCGAACCATCAAGTCGCAAACGCAAGTAAAAACGAACAGCACAACACACGCAAGAATGACGATGCCCCGCAATGTTCTATATGAGAGCAAAAGCAAAAGCCAAAAAAAAAAAGGGCATCAGCAAAAAAAACGACAAAGATCAAGATCAAGAAGCAGGCAGAGCAAGCAACGCATGAAGGGCCAGCAAACCCCCTTCCCACCACCAACGCCTCCCTCTCCGTGAAGATGCAGCCTGTCCTCTCTCTCTCTCTCTCTCCCTTCCCTTCTACCTCTCTTGTCCTGTCTGTCCCGTCTCCCCCC